GGCGCTACCAAGTCAAATTGTTAAGATGTGATAAGTTTGGTGGGTTGTGTTGTAAAACACACCTCACACACTTAAAAAAGTGTGAGGTCTCAGTGGGTAGCTCAGCACACAGAGCCATAAGTGATACAAAGATGTGTATTTTACGGTGTGTGTAAGCAGTTAACTGGAGGTTACCACTTACCCACATGACTATATGTATCTTGTAATTACATATGGCTCAGGGTTCAGGGCTATTGCCCTGACACTATCTCCCTTACACCTAGGGATGCTTGTCTTTTTTGTTTGCAGCTAAGAATGATGACATGCACAAGTCATCACTATGCCGGAAATTACCATGTGTGGCTGTATGGCTCACATGCCGCCAAAAGTTGGGAAGGATTGGAGCTGTGCCTCATTTGTCTCGTAAAGTGGCCACAAGCACTGCTAGATTTATGTAACTTATGTAGTTACATTTTCAGCTGAAAAATATTAAGAACTCTGCTTTGATTTCATGAATTCTTGGATTATTTCTCATGTTGCCTCCAGTGGTATTTGGCGGTGACTGCGATATTTTCGGACTGCCCAAGATGCCTCACAGCCATTCAACCCCCACTGATATCCATCCATGTATCTTAGTGAGCAGTTTGCAAACCTGAAAAGAAATAAGAATTGTGAAGAGTGTAATAATAAAAAAACTCGCCTTCTCATGGAATGGATGGTCACAGACGCCAATGCTTCTTTTGCATTTGCTTCGACATCCTCTATTTTTGATGAGGGTGGATATTCTCTGTAGACTTGCTTTGAGAGGCCCCAGACTTGTTCAATGAAATTTAATTCACAGTGAAATTTCGGGAGGAAAAGAACTTCAAATCCATTAGCCCTACAATGAGATGTAAGCAGGCAGTCAATGTTGATGAAGTCGGGCTGGTGGAACAGAATGTTCCGGCAGCAGCACTGCACGTCAGTTCCTCAGCACTTGAACCCTTTGCACCCTGCTGGAAGTGAGGATGCATTATTGTAGCCATGTTCCTCGAGGAGTTTGGCCATACCCTTGAACTGTCCTGGGTGTGTTTCATGGTTGTCAGGATAGTAAAGGTGTTGTGGCTGGCCATTGAATCTTGTATCAGCCATGCGCTTCTTGGTCATGCGTGGTTTCCCATCTTCTGAATAGATAATCCGCCCATTCTCATCACAGGCAATGACAGAGACACCCCAATCCTTTGGGAATTTGGGCATCTTGACAGCTGATAGGGAATCCTCTGCTTGTTTTGCATGAGTCCGGGCATTGTCAAAGATGAGAACATGCTTCTCATTTGGGTGTTTCTGCTTCAGAATTTGCATTGCGTGTGAAGCCTGTTCGAGAATGTCATCATTTGTAAAGTAACCATCGCGGTTCTTTCCTGGCTTAAGAATCACCCACGCATCGCAGCTGTCCCCCATCAGCCAACCAGAGTCTGCTGAGACAAAATTGGCAATCATCAGAGAAGCGCCTTCACCCTTAGGATAAGGCTTTGGGGTCTCAGAGTTGTGTACCCAGCGAATCTGATGGTGATCATGAGCATAGAAAATTGACTCATCATGAAACCAAAGAACAGTGTGTTCCTCTGGCTGTGATCCAGTGAGTTCCTCCTCTCCATTTATGTCCCACTCCCTTGTTGACTTCGCATATTCAGCCATTGTGGGCAAGAACATGGTCTGCCGATAATACACAACATCTTCGCGCTCATGCCCATCTGAGTATTGTCCTCATTTCTCCTTGCGCCACCGGTATCCCATTATGTGTAGCCATCTCTGTGCTGTGTGCAGGCTGATTGGTTTTTCGCGTCCTTGATGCTCTTTCATCTCTGGGGTATTGAGGAAATTTACAATGTCTGCAGCAGAGATGTAGGGTGTCATATCCGTGCATACCCGACCCCGACCCGACTTCCGGACCTCCACCCTCTTCACCTCCAGAGTCATAACCTACCGCTGCCTTTCCGATACTCACCTTCGGTCTTGGCAACACACCCCTCCTCTTACCTCTCCGACCCCTTCTCCGTCCGTTCCGATATCCACCTTCGGACCTGACTACTCTTCCTTACCTGTCCCCTCTCTCCTTCTTCCGTCACTCCTCCGCCACCCTTCCGCCAAGTTGCGACCGTCCACCACTGCTCCGTACTTCACACTCGGACACCGTTCGTACCTTACTCCGAGCCTCCGTCATAGTCCATACCTCGGACTTTGACTCCACCTCGGCCTTAGTCCATTGCATTGGTGACCTCATACTACGTGAACACCATTGCCAATATTCCTCGGACATCCAACCCCGCCTCCGTAACCTCCGTAAGCTCCGCAACCCCCGAGCTTCGCGGACCGCCTCCGGCACTCTCGCCGTTTGTAATGTATTTCTCGCAATTCCCCCTCATCCCTATTTGGACTACTGCTTCTTTCTATTCTAGCCAGTTAGTCATCACCCCCACTTCCCCTCATCCTCCTGCCCCTCTGGGCCTCGCCCACTCTACCTCCTTTCGGATGTATCACAGGTCTTGCCCTATGACCTTCGGTACTGCTCCGCTCCCTCTAACCCTTTGTTCCCGTTCGGACGTCTTCGTTCCGATTCGGTCACCCTTTGTTCTCCTTGTGCTTTTGCCCCTTCCTTATATATATATCGGCACTTGTACATACTCGTCTGGTTTCAGTCCGAAATCGACCTGAAATGCCCCCAAGAGACTTCCTGCTCACCTACTGTGAAATTAAGGACCAAATGGACAAACAGCAATGGCACAGCGCTCCGCTTGAGTCGCTGAGGCCAAGGTCCCTCCACGCTAAGTCTCCGATTCCACTCCGGAGTCGTCCGTTTCCGCCCATCTCTAACATAGGGGCCAAGCCCACGAAGGTGAGTTTCCAGTTTTTCTTTCAAATCTTCATCTGTTGTCAGAATTGATGAACCCCAGCAACCATATGGATTATCTGGAAGTGATTTATTGTCCAGAAATTCCCTACACCATCTCCGTAAGCGCGCGGGATAGGATTTCCCACGATTCCACACATTCGCAACTGTCACCAATATCTTGATCCAGCCAGCATCTCCACCTCCATCCACTCCAGAACCATACAAGTGGAGAAGCTGAGCCATCTGCTGGATTCACACCCACAGCATTAGGTTAATCTCAACCTTTTTGTAGCCTCTCCCTGTGTTTTGTTGTGGCTTCAAGATGACATTGAGATCTCGCGCGGCCTTGACTGCCTCTTCTTTTTTGGGTGGGGGGACATAGGGCTGCGAATGTTTTTCTGCTTCAAGAGGCTCACTCTGGGCAGTTGCTGAAGATGCTGGTTGCAGGCAGAGCTTCCTGGGTGATGGGAGGAATGCAGTGGAAGCGGGATTGGGATTGGTGGGTACTTCCACATTTTCTTCCTGATTTTTGTGAATGGATGCGTCTGAATTGTTTGGAATGTTCAGGGGAATGTCAGACACTTCGCTGTGAGGGTGTTTCCAGGTGGAATCTTGTTGGATGTTGAGGGAGATATGGTGGATCTCATTGATCTCGGTGACAAACACATCAATCCCAGCACAATCTCCCTCTCTATAGGAAGTGCCTAACAGTGCTGGGTCACTGTACTCATCGCTAGAGTCACTCAAGAGTGCTGAAGGACTAGGTTGAGTTTGGGGTGTGGACTGTGTGCAGGAAGTTGGAGGAGGATGACTGAAAAAATCAAGGACTGTGTGTTTTTTCCCATCAATCCTTGTCTTTTTCTTCATTTCCTGAAGCCTCCCACTTATAGCTCTCTCCTTTGCTGCATCATGGCACCGGCTGCATTCAGAATGGACTCCATTTATCATTGAGCCCAGATATGTAACTTTGTTACCTGGAATGTTTCCCCGGATATTCATTAGGTGAGAAAGCCTTTTCTCAGAGTCGCAGAGGAGCTGAGTGAACACATCCTTTGAGACTATTGCGGGGTTGACTGTTTCATCAAAGTCCGAGTCACTGTCAGTGTCACTGTTTGCACTATCATAGACATCAGAATTGACATCAATCTCTGGTTGTCCTTGCATTCTGTGGTTCTCTGAGACATATGGATGCTCTGGGGAAGGAGGTGTGGTGATTGATTCTGTAGCAGGATTAGATGTATTTCCGCGTAATTTCTAAGGACAATGCAGAGTGTAAATTATGACTTAACAAACACTTCGTTCATGACAGTCCCACCTTCTGGGAGAACCTCCCAAGATTGTTAGCTTTTTCCCTAAAGGCATAGCACACAGTATCAGGGGATTAGGGGGGAAAGGGTGTCTGCGCTTGTTGCTTTCTGTTTCAGTAATTCAGCAATTACCGAATGAATTGATTTAAGAAATCCATGCATGCCAAAATTTTACTGTTCATTTTCCAATTTTATTTCCTAAGTGCCAAGGATTGAAAGCAGACTCAATTCCAGGAGAAAAACCAAAAACCCTCTCATTTCCCCGTGAGTCTGAATATTTAAATTTGGCAACCACAATGGTCTTCTTTACTATGTACTCTACAGGTTGGTGGGCATAGAATTTACTACAACATGTTGTGTAAAAAATGAGAGTGTTGGTTTGTTTCAAAACAATTTGTATCCAGATAGTGATGACTTGTGCACATCATCATTCTTATTTGCATTGTGCAGTATCCTTGTGCTTCCTGAAGAAATGTCATTGCAGAAATATGAGCGATATAACATCCCACATGGTCTCATATTTCTGAGATATTTCTAACCTGTTGGGACAAAGATATTTCTTGAAAAACAGATCTTAGGATCACCATCAGAAATCTCTCAGAAACATGTGGTAACTAAGGTATTTCTGAAGTGAAAACCACAGCTTGGAATGCAGTGATTGGTTACATCCAGTCTTCAGACTCCTCCCTTGTAGATTCCTGAGTTCATCCCCAGTGACCCCATCCCATATTTGCACTGTCCCATCATGAGGCCAGCCTGGATCCATCAGATGAGGTGATGGGCTGGACCCAGCTGGTGTGCCCTTGAGTTCATCCCCAGTGATCCCATCCCAGATTTGCACTGTCCCATCATCAGATGCCAAGGCCAGCTGGATCCATCAGATGAGAAGGTGATGGACTGGTGTGCCCTCAGAGCACCTTGAATTCATCCCCAGTGACCCCATCCCAGATTCACATTGTCTGATCTCTGGAAGCCAAGGTCAGCCTGGATCCATCAGATGAGAAGGTGATGGACTGGACCCTTGGAGCACCTTGAGTTCATCCCCAGTGACCCCATCCCAGATTCACATTGTCTGATCTCTGGAAGCTGAGACCAGCCTGGATCCATCGGATGAGAAGGTGATGGACTGGACCGAGTCAGTGTGCCCTCAGAGCACCTTGAGTTCGTCCCCAGTGACCCCATCCCAGATTCGCACCGTCCGATCATTGGAAACTGAGACCAGCCTGGATCCATCGGATGAGAAGGTGATGGACCAGACCGAGTCAGTGTGCCCTTGGAGCACCTTGAGTTCGTCCCCAGTGACCCCATCCCAGATTCGCACTGTCTGATCATTGGAAGCTGAGGCCAGCCTGGATCCATCAGATGAGAAGGTGATGGACAGGACCCAGCCGGTGTGCCCTCGGAGCACCTTGAGTTCATCCCCAGTGACCCCATCCCAGATTCGCACCGTCTCATCAACGGAAGCCGACGCCAGCCTGGATCCATCAGATGAGAAGGTGATGGACTGGACCGAGCCGGTGTGCCCTCGGAGCACCTTGAGTTCATCCCCAGTGACCCCATCCCAGATTCGCACCGTCCGATCATCGGATGCCGATGCCAGCCTGGATCCATCGGATGAGAAGGTGATGGACAGGACCCGGTCGGTGTGCCCTCGGAGCACCTTGAGTTCATCCCCAGTGACCCCATCCCAGATTCGCACCGTCCAATCACCGGATGCCGACACCAGCCTGGATCCATCGGATGAGAAGGTGATGGACCGGACCCAGTCGGTGTGCCCTCGGAGCACCTTGAGTTCATCCCCAGTGACCCCATCCCAGATTCGCACCGTCTCATCAACGGAAGCCGACGCCAGCCTGGATCCATCAGATGAGAAGGTGATGGACAGGACCCAGTCGGTGTGCCCTCGGAGCACCTTGAGTTCATCCCCAGTGACCCCATCCCAGATTCGCACCGTCTCATCAACGGAAGCCGACGCCAGCCTGGATCCATCAGATGAGAAGGTGATGGACCGGACCGAGCCGGTGTGCCCTCGGAGCACCTTGAGTTCATCCCCAGTGACCCAATCCCAGATTCGCACCGTCTCATCAACGGAAGCCGACGCCAGCCTGGATCCATCAGATGAGAAGGTGATGGACCGGACCGAGCCGGTGTGCCCTCGGAGCACCTTGAGTTCATCCCCAGTGACCCAATCCCAGATTCGCACCGTCTCATCAACGGAAGCCGACGCCAGCCTGGATCCATCAGATGAGAAGGTGATGGACCGGACCGAGCCGGTGTGCCCTCGGAGCACCTTGAGTTCGTGCCCAGTGACCCCATCCCAGATTCGCACCGTCTCATCAACGGAAGCCGACACCAGCCTGGATCCATCAGATGAGAAGGTGATGGACTGGACCGAGCCGGTGTGCCCTCGGAGCACCTTGAGTTCGTGCCCAGTGACCCCATCCCAGATTCGCACCGTCCCGTCATCGGAAGCCGACGCCAGCCTGGATCCATCAGATGAGAAGGCGACGGACTGGACCGAGTCGGTGTGCCCTCGGAGCACCTTGAGTTCGTGCCCAGTGACCCCACTCCAGATTCGCACCGTCCGATCATCGGAAGCCGACGCCAGCCTGGATCCATCGGATGAGAAGGCGACGGACTGGACCGAGTCGGTGTGCCCTCGGAGCACCTTGAGTTCGTGCCCAGTGACCCCACTCCAGATTCGCACCGTCCGATCATCGGAAGCCGATGCCAGCCTGGATCCATCGGATGAGAACACGACGGACTGGACCGAGCCGGTGTGCCCTCGGAGCACCTTGAGTTCGTCCCCAGTGACTGCACTCCATATTCGTACCGTCTCGTCATCGGAAGCCGACGCCAGCCTGGAACCATTAAACGAGAACGCGATGGAAGTGACCGAGTCGGTGTGCCCTCGGAGCACCTTGAGTTCTTCCCCGGCGACTGCATCCCAGATTCGGACTGTCTTGTCCCCTGATGCCGAGGCTATCCTTGATCCATCAGACGAGAATGAAACCGAGGTCACCGAGTCGTCGTGTCCTCTGATGGTAAGGCAACCACCCTCTACAGAGCCGCTCCCTCGTATTGTTGGGTCGGGTAAATGAGACAGAGCTGAATGTACGATATGTCCAGCAGAAGCCGAAATGACTGTATAGTTTTGATAGGTGAAGCGACGACATGGTAATAGCAGTTGGAGCAAAGACTTTTTCAGATTTTGGTCCGGTAATTGGCGGCTCCCACTCTATGAATTGACATTATACACCTTAATGACTGGGCACTCAAACGCAAATCACATACCGCACACCACATAGTAACTTTATCTAATTCAACGAGAGCATTCCTTGTCGCCCCTAGTAAACTCAACACTTGCAACCATTTGATCATTGATTCAGCGAAGAACGTTATTAATTTGCTTAAGAACTCCGTTGAAGGATTTTCAATTTCCGCCACATGTAGAAGGCCATAGAGAGCTGCATATTGAACATCGGAGGAGATTTTCGACTGGATCTGAAGAGTAAGGTCTGGGATGTCGGAGTTCAGGACTAAAGGGTTTGACAGTTGTAGAATATTTTCCCCTGGCAAACGACAAAGGGTCTCGATGCAGTGTATAGCAATACGGGAATGAAGATCGTCCTTGTTCGTGATCCAATCCGGGACGCGTTGGGAATTGTCGCGGGTATCTAGGTCCTGCGCTGAGTAGGCAATTGTGCCAAGAAATGTCCCAATCGAGTGGGAAAGCCACCCGATCGGCTTTGTGAGATTTAAGGGTTGCCACCGAGGGCTAAAGGTCTGTTGTAGAATCAATGAGTCGAAAAATTGACGGGATGAAAAGGTTCACACACCCAAGCGGCACTTTGAAATGCCGCCATAATCTTCTACCAGATTAACCACTTCCCAATTGATTATACTATATAGGGCTTACCGTGTAGGGTGTCACATGAGCCGCTGCTCGCTCAGATATTCTCGTTCGAACAAGACGTGCTGTGTTACGAGCAACCGGGCCTCCGAAGATGTAGTGCCCATCTCCCGAGATCCCAAGGTGCTCTTGAAGGAGAGAACAGAACATCCAGCAGTTCTCCTACAGTGATCGTAGTCGTGAGCTTGCTTCATTGGCCTTATCGCGACGGAATCATACCGGCCAAATTTTATACTCTAGCAGTTCTTCGCAGATAACACGAAGATAATCACCAAAATCACCGAGGAAAGGCGTTCTTCTGAACGTTTGAATATTTTCCTGGCGCCCGTTTCCAACGAGTGCTTCCTTAGACGCCGAGAGCTGAGCCTGCGAGGCCGTCAGCGGCAAAGTCGGCAACAGATCGACAGGGACCACTCACCGTATCATTGGCACTCGTTTTCCCGAGTTTTAACACGAGTAAGCCGATACTTGAACCGGCTCTTCGATCAATCCGCAGCCATATGTCCTTTTTCTCTGGACGGCGCAATTGAAAGATGAGGAAGCGATGTAGAACCAGGTTCCGAGACTGAGAATAGCAGGATGTGCTGATAATCCTCGCCGCTTGAAGCCAGATGTGTTTGTCGATGACCTGATCGCAGAGATCCTTTAGGGAATATTTGGCTCCAGTGCTGCGAAACGAGAGAACCGATCCCTTCGAAAAAGTCGAAAATCCAGAGACAGTGGAGAAATTAGAAAAAGCAGTAAACGCAGAAGAAGTCCGCGCAAGAGGAGGGTGCAGGACGCTATCCTCAGTTGGCTCGATAGCATCTAGAACATTCAAGCCGAATTCCGTCTCAAAGAAACCCTCCTGGGGGACAATTCAGTCATCAAGTCGAATGCCAGGGTGCTACGTGTGCTCACAGAGTCATCGTTTTTGATATTTCCGTCTCCATGGGAGAAACCAGTGTTTGGTGGGAATGCCCCACTAGACGTGAGCGCATCGTGGTTGACTGGATGAGGAACTGAATCGAAATCCTCGTCCACCTCTTCGATACGTGAGAGGGACATCTGGCGACAATGGAACGCTAGAGCGGCGTTCCAACCTTCAGTTTGGTTTTGAAGCCTGCGCCGGACGTGCTAGGGAGTCGCAACGTGGAGACTACTCCGCATAAAGCAAGACGCAACAATACACCGCTTTTTGCCGTTGTCAAACGCTTCTGATTCTTTTTAATTTTGGTGATGACCTCCTGAACACGTTTACACAAGCTCTCTATGTAGTGCAGCAGCCTTGCATATGTTGTCCAAGAGCGAACATGAATTACTCCTTTTCGCGCCACTACAAACATCGATCTCCCATCAACACTCGTATCCTCACCCTCATGTTGCTCGCTTCCTCTACTCATTCATTTCTTAGACGCTTTGCCGAAGACTACGGTGTGTTATTACCCGAAACAAACTTCTTTGCACCGTCCAACTTCCAACACATATATATCACCAGTGCAGTCCTACGGTGGTATTCAGAAATAAATAAATAATTCATCTATCGTACCCCGGTACAACGTTTTGTCCAAAGTAAGGAACCAAGGGCCGCACAGTATGATACGGCGATTCACATAAGTAAAACACCACTCTGCCCCAAAGTACAAAACGTGGGTCAGTACTTGGGTATCCCGTCATAAATTACTCGGAGAAGAACATGCGACAACAACCTGGTACATCCTTAGTACGATACCTCGGGATCACAGGTAAATCATCAACCGATCGCGTCCGGGGAACCCGGTCAAATTTACTCAGGGGCCTCCGAGTTTTAAACAGCGCACACCTTCCAGGTGTTTTCCCTTAGAGTATCCCACCGTAAGATACTCCGGTCCTTGGGTTTCCTGATGTTTTTTTTTACCGTGATTTACTTCTCACTGTGACTATTTTTTAACGAAAAGCTGCCTAATAGTAAATACCAGGAAAATGGTTGTTTCGTTGACTGTACGCTTGCTTCCCACAGTGATTAAGACTGTTCACAGCCAAGCGGACCCGATTGACAGTGGCCAGGGACGTCTTTGAGCTCCTCTCTGCATAGGGGCGTCGGATCGACCCAGCATCCCCAAGCTAGGTCCGGTAGGAGCTGAAACCCGACAAATTGGCATTTTCCTCGTGACACCCTGGTCAGAAATAATAACCTAAAACACCCAAAACACAAGCACGCGACATTGCCGCCACTTCCGGTGCCTTACAAAACCTCAATCTCAACCCTAACGTCTTACTTGAAATCTTTTATTTTGATCTGAGTCACTTGTCCCGCCCGACTTTGCGGCTCACATCTATCGAGCGGACCCAGTGATCAAATTGCAAATATAAAAAAGAACGGGAAAAGAACGAACAATCGGATCCAGGTACCAGGCACTAGCTTGGTCTCTAGTGACTCAGTGAGGACACGCGCGCGGGCACACGAACGCTAATCATCAAGGATATCTTATTCATCGCACCCTCAATATCTCTGCTCGACTCGTCCTCGAGTCGCTCTCGGTGACCAGGCATTTGCGAGTGGTAACATCCCGTCATACTCAATCGTCACCGTCACCATCATTCTCACGGTGGCGCCGCTTGTCATCGTGTTGGTATAGACCCCTTCCTTCATCCCTCTCACCCTTGCCCCCGCTCCGACCCTGTTTCTGCCTGCCTCTAACTTTGCGCGGTGTCCACTTTATCAAGATCCTTTTCATCGCTCTGTCCAATCCCGAACGACGAAAGAACGACTTCCCTTTTCCCCTCTTTTTGCACACACCTTGACTCCACCGTGCGCTGGAGCCGACCGGAACCTATCACGCCTTCGTTCCGCAAAAAGCGTAACTACATACACGTAAAACGCACTTGGATTTTATCATCGCTTAATAGCGTCAGCGTCCTCACACACACAACCATATAAAACGTTCGACAACTCGCTTGCGGGGGAGGCGGGTTTGTGTCACTGCTCACACGCCGTGACTGTGTGAGCTTCTTCTTCCCTTGCTCTGACTTTGCTTTTTCTCTGTGACGTACTCCTAATCTTTGAACCGCGTTCAGTACAGTGTTTCTTTTTTGCGCCTGTTTGGGGGACTCGAACCGATTTGCTCTTGCTGCTTGCCTTGAGGTCGTCCTGATATCATCCACCTCCCTCTTTCCCAGCGCGCGTGCTCGCCTCAGCCTCTTGATCGACTCGTTCGGGCTAACGCGGTGATCTATTCGTCACCATTGTCATCACCATCAGCGCCCAACAACCCATTCATCCACTTTGTCAACACCAACAGCGTCCACTACCTACATTCCGCTACACCCTCTGCCCTTCCCTAATCTCTCATCGACACCGTTGGAATTCTCTTATGTTTATTACTTTGGAGGACTATCCTTGTCGGTCGATCAGCTCAAAACGTTGCAGTTTCTTTGAGTACAGTGAGTAGTGGGTTGTTCTGTTTTTGCTTTTCTATTTTCTATCCTTTCCCCTTCACTTGACTCCCCTCCTGCCTCCGCATGATACGTGCGCGCTTGGCCAGAGTGGACTGTTGAGGGTGGATACCTTTCGGTCACCCAGCGCCACCTCGCATTTCTGGCCCCATGGCGCAACTCCACCCACCGGTCATGCGAGTGCGCTCAATTTTTTTTGTTTTTGTCTTTGTAATTGAGTAATTGGATGCGTGATGATTGGCTGATGTATACTCTCCTTTCTTCTCTTCACATCTCCCTCGGTCTATGGACTCGGTTGGTTGATTGGTCATATTCGCTGATTGGGGCGTTTAATTCAACGCACCACACGATTTATTTCCATGCTTATGAAAACCTTAATCATTGGCTTTGCTTCCTGGACAACTCAATCGTTTCATTTCATTGGCTTAACCGATTGATCGCTTGGTTGAACCACACCCAACTCGATGCGTTGGTGGCATGTGGGGGGGTTGGTGTCTTCGTTTTTTTTCCGTGCAATGCGATTGGTCATGACGGCATGGACATTCTAACCCGGTTCCCGATGCGTCCTCTCTCTCCTTTTCGTTATCGCACCTCCGTTTGCTTTCTGACGCACTGACACCTCGTTGGGCTGAACCGGGGACTCGCAACCGCAATCTTTTGGGAATGACATTGGGGGGTTGTGATGCAAAAGTGGCCGCTCACGATCATCGATCGTATATTCCTTCGTCAGCGTTTCCGCCATCATCTTTGGGTGAAGGGGGGGAAGACCGGCCATTGTCTTTAATCCCCCCTGCATCATCGTTGCCGAAGAAGGGGCTGAAGGAGCGGCGGATGAAGGTGGCGAAATTCGGTGCGGTGTTGCAAAGTCCAGAACCTCTCGAAAGATCGATATCCTCTACAGTACCTCATAACCCTTCTACACCTGGCGGTGATGACGAAGATGCTACTTCATCCCTCATCGTGTCCAATTCGATTTCCACATTACCTAATTCGAGCATGATTAACTCGTTGAGTTCAATGCCGCTGACATCATCGCCTTCATCTTCGTTCAAGACTCCGTCGGCACCTTCGCCTGCACCCATGCCGACATCATCAACAACAACAACATCACCAGCGAAAGAAGATTCGCCGGCTTTATCTCTATCCGTCCGGCTTGAGCCTCTTGCAGCTGCCGCTGCCCCTTCAGATCTCGACGCCAACTCCAACATTTCCTCTGCTCCTGTCTCGGACGTGGCACTCCCTCAAGTCCCCAGTACTGCATTTGCCTCTGCCCCTGCTTCTGCCTCCTCCCTGTTACCATCACCCCATCAACATCACACACCCGCGCCACCGCCGCCACCGCCACCGCCACCACTACCACTCACAATACCTTTACCGCCTCCGCCAATAATCTTCCCTGTGCCGGGTGGCGGCGATTTCACGACACTGGTGGCACAGGTACAGGAGGACGTGACGTCCCCTGGCGCGATCCAGTGTTTTGTCTCACCCCCATTGCCTAGCTCCAACACACCGACCCCAGCATCCAGTGTAATGACTCATGCAACGCATTTTTACGTCTCACCTTCATCCACGTCTTCCACGACGGCCACGCACTTTTATGCATCACCCACATCATCTAGGTCTTCTTCAATGCCTGGGTCCCCTTCTACGTATACGTCTGCATCTACTTCTATGGTTTCGTGCACGACGTCCCCCACGTGTCCGCCATCACCATGTGCAACTTTGGTGAGCAGTATGCATGGATCGAGTTCGACGAGCGCGGGAGGAGGGAGTGGGTCAATGAGACCTTGTTTGACGCTTAATTTGGATGCGCTGGGTACGCCTATTCCGAGTCCGGCGGATGAAAGGGGGGAGTACATAAGTGCGGAGGCATTGAGGAATTGGAATGAGGGTGGAGGGAGTTACGAGTCGGGTCTGGGAGGGGAAGGAGAGCAAGGGATCGATATGTTTTTTGAGGAGGGTGAGGAGTTGGGCCCATTAGAGAAGATTTATTTGTTTTCGAGAAGTAGGGCCGTTTTCCATCGGTGAGTTTCTTTTTCTACGTCTGTTGGCGGCGTTTTCGTTATTCCGGTTTTGCTCACGTCGGCGTTGGCGTGTGTGCCTCCTTGTGTTCCGTGTAGGGTGTATATTTCGCGGACGTTGGCGAAATTCTTGCCTTTGATTACGCCGCATGAGGCGGTGGAGTATGTACTGCCTCTTTTGAATGGTTTGGGAACCGATCAAGGTGGGTGCTATGTTCTCTATTTTCCTTCTGTTGTGCTTTGAACTGACATCTACTCCTAAATTGTTTATTTTTTCAGATGATTCGGTCAGGGAGGCCTTTGTGTCGGAGCTGGTACCCATTATGTGGTGGTTCTTTGTTGTGAGTAGCTCCTGCTGCTTTTGGCACTCTCGTCCTCCGATTGCGTTCTGCCTCCAACCATGTCTGACCGATGATATCCACTCGTGGATGGTACTTCTTGGGTTGTTGACAATTTAGAACTGCGAGGTCATTGATTCGGAAGACGTCCAAGATGAGGAACAAGCGGGCGTAACCAATGCAGATCCCTCCGCCTCCAGTTCTGACGACACCCCTTCACCCCGACCGAAACTCCACGTACAAACGTTCACGCCACTCCTTGGATCCCTTCTTCTCAGTGTAAATCCTTCCATAGGTGACGCCGCAAGATGGGGTATCGTCGAACTTCTTGCCCGCCTGCGTGAATCGCCCGAAGCTGTCACAGATGCGAGAAGTCGCGCTTTAAGCAGTACGTTTCACAGTTTTGCGAGCAGTAGTTCTGCGGGGAGTGGTGGGTGGAGTGTCGTGAAAGAGCTAGAAGCTGGACCGGTCAGCTGGGGTGGTATGCCTAGTTCGAAGGAGAGGCGGATCATTGAGAGGGAGCTTGTGTTCGGGGTAGTGATCGGGATGGCAAGGCTCGACTGGGAGCATGATCAAGGGGAGTTTGGGGGCGAGGCAGGTCCAGTCGCCGGCGAAGGCAGAGATGGGGATGACGACGAAACAGAGAGATGGAGCTCAACATGGGGATCTGCGGCGGGGAGTGTTGCAGATCTTCCACCGATTGCTTCGGAGGGTCAGGACAACACCCTTGGTCATTCCGGAGCAGCGGAATCATCTCCTTCTGCTCTGTCGGCGGTATCTTGGACCACGGTTGAATCTACCCCTTCGCTCTCTCTATCGGTACAGACAGCTCCTTCCTCTGATGATATAGTGTCACCCGGTCCATTCTCTTCGTCCGATGGTGTGGGGTTAGGGGGTGAGGCTAAAGCGTTGGTCAGTGGGGAAGATTTCAGTGGTGCTGCCTCTTCGATGGGATTCCTTTCCTTGACACTCCCCTCATTTTCGTCTTTGCGGTCTACCGTGTCGCTAGAAGACGGCCAACAATCGAGTGGGGCCATTGGACGTATGCATCAAAGACAACAACTTCCATGTCCTCAATCCCCAGCAACATCCTCGTTGACATTGAACGCTAACCGTCCTCCATCACCGGACAGCAATGCAGGAGCCCCCACGGCTCCGACGACTGTGAACAGGAATGAGGTTCCGTATGATCCCGAGGATGACCAAGCAGAAGAAGCGGCAGTTGGGCGCGTTGCAAGCATGAGTCTAATTGCTGCTGTCACCGCTAGTGGTAGGACATTCTCCCGTGTTAATTTTTGGGTCATCGATGCTGATTCCCTATGACGTGACAGTAGGCCCATTGAACGACGATGTTACGCCTGCGTTCCTTGAGGAGGTGGAACGTGTCGGGAGTGACCCAGTACACTGGGTACGAAGGGAAGCAGCTTATGCTCTGGGTGCTTTGGCCAAAGTCATTTCGGATGAGGAAGTCATCCATTCATTGGTGAGCCTGTCCTTCAACACCGAAAAATTAGACCGCGAACTGACACGGAATATTTTCGGTCCGGGGGGGTCATAGTTTCCTCTCTACAATTCTTTCATCTCTGATCGCAAGTGGCGCGTTCGTTACTCAGCTCTATTTGCCCTTCCCGGACTCCTATCCCGCCTTGCCATTACCGAGAGAAGATCGTATGCCATTTCCCAGCTTACGACTTTGACACACGATGTTTCTCGATCCGTTCGGTTAGGGACGCTCGAGATTCTCGGGGAGGTCATACATACGTTTTGCGATGATCAAGATGGGCTTCCTAGCGAGCTGATTGATCTCTTCATGGGGAAGGTCAAGGCTATTGGTGCTGCCCCCAATGTTGGCGGTTCGACGACAGGGATGAGGAGACCCCCTTTTCGTCATATGGATACGATCACTCCATCGTCGTTTCAACAGATGAGCAACTCTGGCTTAAGGTCTGCTCCATTTCTCGGTGCAGACCTCCAGACACCAGATAGAGGGGATGGTGGTGGAGAAGAATCGTCGGATGCCGAGCCGGATTTTCCTAACGATACTGATGGTGAGGGAGATGAAGAAATGATGGGGATACCAGCTCGGGGGGAGGGGACACATTTCGAGAAGAATCTTATACGCGCGTTTAGTTTCCCTGCTGTTGCGCTTACGTTGGGAAGAGATCGGTGGGGGGAGTTGAAGGCATTTTATGCTCAGCTTGCTGGCGCCGCACAAACGGGAACCGATAAGCCGAGTGCGGGAAGTGTGAACGCAAAAGTCCGGAAGACCCTTGCGGCGTCGATTGGAGAGATGGCGAAAATCGTGGGTTCCAAAGCCGCTGTGGAGGATTTGGTGCCTGTGCTTTACGGCCTCCTTCGGCATGGGAGCGGTAATAACCCTGGAATGGGTGGCATAACGGAAGGCAGCTCGGGATGGACTGAGAGGGAGGAAGAAGAGGAGATTAAGATCAAGGCGATCGAGTCCCTCGATGTCTTTTTGGAGGCGATCGACGAAACTGAGCGGGGGCCCATTGGCAGGGAGTTGGAGCGGATGTGGGCGGGCGAGGATTTCGATCGAATGTCTCAGCAGGGGCGCAGGACTGGAGGGGAAGGGGGTTTACCGCTAGCACCGTCGTCGTCCTCTAAAAGCAGAGGGGAAAGTGGGTTTGGGTGGAGGGTAAGGGATGCGTTCTCGAGGAAATTGGGTGTCTTGAGTGGGATTTTGAGGAAGGAGGGCAATGTGGTGAGGAGCCTTGTCATGAAGGCTCTTGTGGATCCCGTGGCTGCTATACGGGAGAGTGCCGTTGATTTTGTGAGAGGATATTTTGTAACTTTGGGGTTGGATTTACTGACGAGGCCTTCCGTTTTCTCGCTTTATATTCCTTGACTTTTCCCCGTTTGTGGGTTCAGTTGCCAACATGCATTCAAAACCTAGGTGTTTCCACGGTTGCGGCCAAGCGGCTTCGGGCAGATGTCGAGTCGTTCGCGATTGCAGATACCTCGAAACGAAGAACGACGTGAGTATGGGTGTCAACGTACTTGCACTTCGTCTGATCTGGCGACATCGAATCCCCTTACATTAGATTCGTTTATTGCATTCAAGCGCTCGCGTTGTCGCAGGCACTGGGGCCTCTGGAGATATCGAAAGGATCGTTTTGGAAAGTCCTTAGAGGCTTGGCTCAAGATCCAGTTATCGATGTGCGGATCGCAGTGTCCAGGCTCGTTAGCCTTGTGTGCTGTGAGTTATAGACATGGGCTTTGGGTAGTTTATGCTGACGCTGCATTTTCTCGTTCCAACACAAGACAAGCACTTTACCCACGGTTATCCGCCTACCATCTCGTATCTCATCCGTTTACTTGGTTCCGATTCATCAGAGGAAGTTCGTTCCTTTGTTTATTGTCTCAATTTCCCACCATCCACCAAGTCCCCACACACATTTTCTTCATCATCTCCACCAACGCTGTCCTTGTCGTCAAGCAATATCCAACCCCCGGAAACCTTCCTCTCGCCCCCACCGATCATCAATCCTGTTCCGGCAGCGCCCTCGACTCCTTTCGCCACATTCTCGAAACCGCCCTTCTTTACCCCCGATGTGGAGCTGACGCCTCGATTGGAAATTCCTCGTGCTACTGAAGCTGAGGTGGACTATATTACTGCTGTGGCGGTGTCCCTCGACCAGAAGCAGAGTGCCCTAGTTAACGGCCCGGCATTAACGAGACCACCTGCCAAACTAGAGGAAGACCAACTGCCTCCACCTCCATTGTCATCGCCAGAAGAGACGACGTTGGGAGTAGAAGTCGTGAAAGTGGGTTCAGCAGATAATCCCCTCTCACGTTCGAGTTGGCTCTCGTCTCCGCCTCCACCCTCGGCGGTAGAGACCGTTCAAGTTAGTCAAGTTAGTAACGGTGAACCACCCTCTCGTACAAGATCAGAACGGCCGCGATTCGTTAGGGCAAAGACTACCCCTTCTTAATATGAGCCGGCTCATACGATCGTTGTCGGAGTCGTAGTTGCTGCAATGCTGACATCAACCTCCTCCACTCTCTCTTTCCTTTCTATTTTGAACCCTTATATTTTATTGTTCATTCTTCGTTAACAACAATTTAACATATATTGATCCCAACACGACACGTAGGAAAGAGCCAAGCGCGCGCGTACTGTTCCCATTACAAAAAGCAGCATTTTTACGTGTATCGCACAACACCAAATATCTCCCCCCATGCAGCGGCGATCCCAACCACCGGATTTGTGGTCATTCAAATGAATGGATGGAGGGATCATCATCAATTCATTTATTTGAATGAGGCGTCCCTGTTGCCTTCAATTGTCGGTGATTTATCTATCAGCCCGTACTAGAAGCATGTAGCCCAGTTCCAGGATAGAGAACTAATAATGTTGCCTAGAAGCGCATAGCTTGAGGTAATATACATTATAAAGACAACAATCATGAAAGAATATATGACAAGCTGTCTTGTTACCCCGTTGGTGGTGGTAGTGCTACTCTACAGACCAAGGGGAATCAAGCTATATATATGCAAGAATTCAATTCAAATGAATCGAACGAAAAAAAAGGCTTGTGGCTGTGTCGCCATGAAGGAAGTCACATGATAATATCCGTTGCAAGCAAGGTAAAGTGGGGTCGATACTCCGTTTCTGTCAACGCGGCGTTCGATGGCCAGTTCGCTTCCGCTTGGATCGGGCTTGTGATGCTAATCTTGGAAGGGGGACACCCGTGGTTCAGGGTATTTCATTTTTCGCTGCTTGCCCCTTGACAACGGTCATCAGAGTCCTCTTTGGGGGCTCGACGTGTGGGATATGTAATGAGCGCTTCTGATTTTGGGGTGAATGGGGTTCGCTGGTTGTTTTTGGGCGCCTGTTTTTACAAAACTTCTTTTCCCAGCTGAGAGAGTGATTAGGTCTACCCCTCCGACAATGGCAGACGAAAGTGGTTAGCGTTTCTTTCTTTGCTAAAGCGTTGCATTTTTGATCTACTTCTGTAGCAGCCAGTAATGGGCAGAATAGTCTATCAACTCCCAGAAGGTCCGACATCTACCTACAAATGCCAACACCTCATACCAGTGGTGAGCATGATGAACTCGCCACCGCTGCACTTCCATTCACCCGTCGTCTAGGATTTCCTGTGGAGATAGATGATATGGAAAAGACTCATGAGAGTGACCTCCGCCCGTCTCAAAATGGCATCCACGAGAACTCCCCTGAAACATTGGGGCTATCCAAGTTGCATTGGTGGACAACAATCCCATTGGGCCTTGTCTTCATTTTTATCGCTGCCGGATCGGAAGTTGTATTAGAGCGCACGCGCCACGGGTTAGGTAGAAACCACCGACTCTGGTGTATGAACAGTCAGGCTCATTCCTCCTCGCTAGGATTTGATATCTATCTTACCGACACCGAACTCTCTCGCGGTAGACAGTTCCTGAAGGTATGGCTTTCCTACTTTATGACCGTATGCGTGGCGACTGAAAAGCGGTTCCTCAGTCATTTCTGCCATCTATTCTTTTCACTCCCTTATTCCTCTGGTTCACAACATCCTATGGTGCTATCAGGCTGCTCAAAGTATTCTTAATCACTCTTAGTTGTTCAATAACGCTAATGTACACAACGATAGCCCTACATTGGTACTGAGAAAGATCGGGACGAGTACGAAAAGAACAGGTATGACTCAAAATCCGATGTGCCTATTACTTGTTCGCAATTCATACTTGTCCTCGTAGTCCGGGCTCGGCTGTGCTTCTAAGTTTCAGAAAGCACCATTGGGTGGTCTTCATACTCTCTTGCATCGCAATCAGCGGTGGCATTTTCCATTCCCTGGCTGGATCATATTTCCAGATTATTCCGACGTCCCACCAGCAGGCAGCGAGAGTGCGTATCGCAGGTAAAACGGCTCAGGGCTATGACAATCTTACAAACTCATACATCCCGTTCGTGGATGCGGCAGGGGTGCGTAATTCTGTGGGGTAAATTCACCAATGACAATTGATCCTACGTTCCAGTTTGTGGGCACCGTTCGTTAGTCAGGATCAATAAAGAGTCCGTCAACAGGTACTGAGTCATCTCTCCAGGCCAGATCGGTGCTCTGTATTCTCCATTTATCTTTGATGACACCACTGGCAAAACTGGGAATTTCTGGGTGGTGCCAAGCCTTACTGTGGGTAATCATGATGGGCTCATCACTGTGCCGCCTTTGATCATTATTGCCTTCAGCCCACTGATTCAAGTGCATCTGCCCAAGGTGGAAACGTGAGCATCACATTCAAGGGATTGTCGGTGCAAGCCAAATGTGCTCCGGTTCCATCACCAGTAATCTCGGGTCCGGACAGCGCCAAATTGTACCACATATCGGGATCTCTTCCCCATAACTGCTCCGCCACTTCCTATGCCAGCCCCGATGGCACAACATGGTACAGCTGGATGGTTGACGCCCCTATTGGATGTGTGCGAGGCATCGACCCTGGTAACAACTACACACTCCCAAGTGACCCGGTGTATTTCTCTCCCGTGGCATTCTCTTTCTTCAAAAACATATCGAGCTACTCGATGGTCTTCTGCTACAGCATGATAGAGGAGCACGATGTCAGCGTTAAACTCGCGCTCAATGATGACATCCCATCCATTTACGATGTCGTGGATCTAGGTAACGTCTCATTCCTCAGTTGGGGTCCCAGCGGGTAAGGTGTTCGAGCAAGCGTATTCGCACTCATACTGACATGCAGTTCCAGGACGGGCTGGACAAATCCTGATCCCCGGGTAGAAGGCATCAAAGACGCGATCCGCTTTGCCTTGGCCGATTCCATTGTGAAGCACGTGGGTTTGGACGAGGTTGGGGGTGGAATGAACACATCAGAACAGGACAGGATTCTCAGGGATGGGGCCTCTGTGGTTGGATATGCCGAGGATGCCATTGTAAGTGATGCGAAATGTACAATGTCTACTTCCTCTAATGTTTTCATTACAGATATTATTTCAAGCAACCGTCGCCCCTTCTACGCTTGTCGTTGGGCCGCCGTACTTAGAGACTGCCACACAATACGTGCAGACATTCGGCCTGGTTGCCATGTGCGTGTTCATTTCATGAATCTTATCACCAGCAATGCCTCACGCTTTTGGAACTTTGCCTCAGCGCTCCTGTGGCCCATGTGATGACTGCCATGTGTGCAATCGTTGGACTCATGCTTATCGCGCTCTTCATACATCATTACATATGGCGCGAGGGATCATTGACCAGTGCCGCACCTTCAGCGAGTACGACGGCTCCAGCGCTGGCTTCATGAATCAATGCTCCCAGCTACACGGGATTGTTGGAATGTCGATGCTTCACCAGTGGAAATATGCGGCAAGCATGCAGTTAATCGTTCTAGTACAGAACATATCGCAATGGTGTTAATTTTTCTCCCGAGTATTACGTTGCTTACAAGGTCTGCATGCTCTTAAATTATTTCTCCTTTTCTGTCAACTACAGTCATGGCATAATGCCGAAATGCATGTCGGAAATTTACCCAGATTGTGTAAAACAGAGAAATGTGATTGCAATGCTTCCTCTATTTTTTTGGTGCAACCCTCAGTTCAGCCTTAAGGATTACCCGGGGGTTTGTAGCTGTTGATGTGTATATCAACTTCGGGGTAGCTGTAAAGGCACTTCAGTCTTTTGCTTCTACCACATCTAATTTAAAACATATTTCTCAAACGTCTTTGAGGCAAGAGACGAACAGGAGGACAGAACGGCACCGCTCAGAGTCGCATGTCAAGTCTCGTCCGATGGCAAGGTTCCGGCTTCAGAAGTTGCCAGGCTGGGGCATGGGTTGCATGACATCCCGCTGAAGGCCCGCTGATTAGTTTACCAAGGAATATGTCCGGCCCACAAGTACGGAATCGCCTACCACACAAAGTCTGAACACATAGGAATAAATGGTATAGCTATAGGGAAGAATACATCTACATCCCATGATTATAATGCCGGCTCTAAACCGTCCCCAACCGGCATATCAGGTACTATACTTGAAGAATAACTTCACAAATCCTCAATTCACCCACTCGCCCATCCATGCTCAATCGCAAAACTAATGCTCCTCACCTCCAACGTCCTCGTATTCACATATACCATATCACCGGTTTCGGCAAAGGATGGCACCAAGATCACCCTGGTCTTAATCTCACTCTGTTCCTCTCCTCTACCATCCTCATCTCTTCGGAGTACCAGCTCAGTCTCGAGTTGAGGTTGGTTCCCGATTGCGTATATACTTGGTGACTGAGTCACAATGAATGGGTCGTCGTTGAAGAACGGATAACACCCTAATTGAAAAAGTGATACACAGCAAATGATGAGCGAAACGAGGTCTCGGAGTAAAGAACAAAACAATGACAAAGTGGCCCCTTCTCTGGCTCTTAATGCCGGAGAGAGGTGTGTCTGACAAGAATGGCGTATACTCACACAAGGTATCCGGACATGTCGGAGCGATATGGCGCCACCGTAAAGTGTCCCTCGCGACAGCTAGCCGATCCGTTGTCTCAACATACTTGAAGATGTCGTCAATTGGCTGCCCTGCCGTAGCCAACATTCTGAAAGATTTGGGTTTTCCGGCAGAAGGGAGGAATGAAAAAAGGAGATCCATCAGTAAACCAAGCCATTGCGAGACTCAGAGTCCTAACGAGCCCTGAAAGCCCAATAGAAGCTGACGCCAAATCTTCACAGTGGAGTCAGCTTCCCGCTCCTCAAGAACGAAACGGGGCATAGAACTGCAGCGGGTCACTAAAAAAGTATATCCCTACCCAGCATCACCGAAATCCAACCAAGTAGGATTACTCTCTGTCCGAAATACCCTCGACTCTTTCGCCGCCTCTGGTGCACCACCAAAACCAAACATCGATCTCGGCATGGGTTGTTGCGGTAATATGGCCCCTGCTGGATCTGTCGCACCAGGGAGGATATGAATGGGGAGGGAATAGGATAGTTCGCGAAGGGCTGCATTAAGTCGATGAAGGGGTGCTGGGTCCCATGCTGTTGCCGTGCTGTATCGTTTCTTCAGACGAAAGAGTAAGAAAAAGGAATGGTATTCAGAGTCGAAAGAGTACTTTCAAAAACAATAAACTCACTGAAGCTTTCGGGTCGTCTTGACTCTTTTTTGGTACGTCGATCGAATTCCCCAATATTATCAGGGCACGGCACTGTCTGCTCAAACCTTGTTCTTCTTCACCCCCCATTTCGCCTTGTAAATATTCGATGAGCAGTTGCAATCGAATATCGGACGCCTCTTCTTGGCCCGGAGGTATATCGTTCGAGTTCAAACGAAGTCCAGAAACGAGGGCCACCCATTCGGGTTTCTGATCCCCGTTTTCCGTCCGAGAGTCTTCTGGATGTAATATCCAATACGGTGAAAATTATTACCATCGATTTCCATCAGCAATACATCCAGCGTACCGTCGACTTGCATCGCATCTTCGCTTCTATCTAACCCCCTTCCAACTCTTTGCGGTGCCATCCCAGCAAAACAAACATCCACGACACGAAACGTTCCGCCCGCCATTTCAACACCCAACGCAGCCATAATAACCCCAGTGACGATTCGCAATTTTGATGGTTGAATGACATCGCCTTCAAGCTGAATGCGGCCGGATGCGTCTTCGAGCATGATACGATCATGGGGGGAGGCATACTTTTCGAAGGTCGTTGGGGCTTGGAGCCAGTGCTAGAGCAGCCAGGCAGGAATTGGGGATAAGAGTAAAAATGGCAAATGTCGCGCACCATGGGGATGGAGATTAGATTGAGATGATGAGATGAAAGATGAGATGAGATAAAAATGCCATGAAGGATGATGAAACGGGAAGCGGCTGACCTCCTTTGCAATGTCCGCGAGGACATTCGGCTTGAGTGGCATATCCATATATATGGTACCTACGATGTAACATAAATCTCCCTTCACCACATCCAATATCTTCGGAACATGAGCGGGATTCCCTGATCGATGCCATTTTTAGGCCAAAAAGAACAGCCTTTCAGCTTTCAGCAAAACGAACGCATGAAAAAAGGAGCAATCACGAATGCACATGGTGGAAGAAAAGAATTGTCGCAAAACGCGTCACGGAAGAGAAGATAACGAGCAAGAAGGGGAAGACGTACCTGCCACATCACTCCATTTTCTTCGCGCACGTTTTAATACTATTTCTCGAAGTCGTTCCAGTCTTAGGTAGTAAATGTTCGCGTATTGATGGCGGTACGACTTGGCATTCTCGCCAACAAGGCGGAATGCATCGCGTAACTTTTCAGGTAAACACGTTGATCTAATCGCCACCAACCGGAAAAGAAGAAAATGACGCAAGCCAGTTGGGGTACCGTTCAGTTCAGCTTGCCACCTCTGCAAACTCATGACCGGTTTAGCGAAGAAGAAGAGATAAATCGCTCACTCAGTTGTCATCGTATCCAATCTATATGTATGACGAAAACCGCCCTGAAGTAGCTCAACTGTTCAGAACGATTGGCCCTTTCCACTTCGCGCTTCTGTAACGCCCTTCCCCCGCGTATATGTGCAGCAAGAACCCAGTGACGTCCGAGGTTGTTTTGCCACAATCACCTGATCACGTCCACCATCGAGCTTAAATAGGTCGGTACGATTCCTCTGACAGCTCGTCTCTCCAACCCTCTTCAACCGAATCGACTTATCAAACCCGTACGCTAAAAACATGTCTGGTTCGTGCTCCTAAGTCTCTGCCACCGCGATCGACTCAACTATCCTCGTCGGCGGATATATACGCCCTCCCCCTTGCTATCGGTTTAATAATATTTTTAGGACGCGCTGCTGGAAAGCAAAAGCCCCTAAAAGCCCCCAAGAAGGAGAAGAAGGAACTAGATGACGTGAGGGCTAATTTTTCTCTTTTCTTTGTTTTATTAGTTCTGGGCGCGTCAGAGGTCCCTCGACCACGTGTCGAAATTCCTGCTCCGCCCAGACTTCCCGTTGAGATTGTGTTCTGGCTGATTCTTACCACTCACTTCACCTTTTGTCCGGGGTTGTAGGATGACATCGCGCTCAAACAGAAACAGAAAGCCGACGCTGCTGCACTGAAGGAAGCTCAGGCTAAAGGTAATTGTGGAGTTATCTGTATGCATGTATGGATCGCTGACTATTTCCCCGTTTTTCATCATCAGTTGCGAAGGGTAAGGACTTGTGCTATTTTACATGTCAACCCACTGCTGATTTCCCACTCTCAGGAGGTGCGCCTGGAGGAGGTATCAAGAAGTACGTCCCTTACCTGATACTACTGATCTCACCCTTATCCATGACTTCATAGATCATCCGGAAAGAAGTAAAACATCTACTGCAACAACTTTTAATTCTGCCTGCACAAAATCTGTACACATATCATGGTCTATACATCCAGGCTGATACATTCAGATGAACTGGTCAACACGACGTTCGATCTATATTCGTGGAGTAGGATGATGAATGATTGAATGAGGAAATGGAAGAGAAAAGAAAATGAATGCAAATGAAAGGCGCCAGCGCTCGTAATAAACGGAGGAACAGAGGGTACCTCAACACCGATGATGACATAACTGGGTGATGGATGACTCAAAAGATGAGTGACTCAGAAGACCATCGCAGGTGCAGGTGGCCGGATAGTCATGTAGTCTGCATCGTAAACGGTCCCCCACCCTCCCTGGTGCAACATCCGTTTTGACCGAACATACGAGGTAGTAACGAGCACCTGCGGTTGCGATTGTGTGATACTCGAGTTAATCTTTCGAGGGCTACCATATGGGATGAAAAAAGCAGGGATGGGTCTCTCTGGGAGTTTGTGTCGAGGTGCACCACGGGCAGGCTAGATGAATGGATGAGTGAGATTAGATGACGCTAGGAACGGCGGCGCATCGTTAATGAGGGAAACATGAACGTACAAGGGGGCCACTATGGAGGTGAAGGCGTAGTGGCGAAGGCGGCGGTCGACGAGGCATCGTTCAGTTTTAGTTCAAGGACAGTTTGGAGGGTACTAGGCTAGGGTCCGTTCAAATCAGAAGGGCACGAACTGTATCCTCAGAAACTTTCACTGACATCGATCGCAGGCAATCAAACAGATTTCAGAGATGTTAGCTTCAAGCTTACGAGCTGTGTCAGTCGCACAGCGGATGACAAGACTTGGGTTAGGAAGAAAGTTGAGCCTCCGGTGGGCCTAAAGAATGCGTAGAAGACGGGAGGGCGGGCTGCAGCAGTCCTACAACAAGCTCATAAGGGTAATCACTTTGATCGTGATGAAGGAAGATGGGGGCCATCGCTGTTGCCACTGCGACATATTTCCAGCTTTGTAATTGAAATTCGTGGGAAACTTCAATGAATTGAACTGCCAATTCAAATTTGAAATTTTTTTGACGTGGTACTCTCCCAGACATGAGTCCAGCGCTGGTTAGACTTCATCTAGATGAAAGTTGGATTGTGGTTCCTAGTACTCTTTAGGAATTCGAACTTGACCTGTTACTGTCATTTTCTCCAACACAAACGCGCACCTCGGAAACTAATATTACGAAGTCATAGAGGCTGAAGTCCTGCCTAGAAACGGATAGTAATTTTGAGCTATAATAATAAACCTAAAACTGCCCTCCATTAGACAGCTGGCTTTTACCGCGAACTCCTTGGGAAACCACGCCGCTCGCCCTGGAAGATGTAGTCGCATTCTAGTGGGCGTATACACCTCACAGGGCCTTTCCGAGGATTTAGAAATGTTATTGGTGACTTTCAACTGGACCTCTCGCATCTATTCTAGTGCCGGTGAATATATTTCGCATGACCAAAATAACAACTACACTGGCGCCCATTGCATTGTTGCTTCGGCATGCTCTAGGTGTCCTGCGCTTCCACCAGCTGGCTGCTTCCAGCATGGTTCTTTTCCATTTCAACGCCACTGTGCCGTTCCGCACAACGCAATTTTTCCCAATAGGCGTCGATCACGCGGACTGCAATACAACTTCGAAGGCAATGCTGGTCCTAGGACTGGGCTGATCTCCGCTATGTATTGTTGATACATATGCGAGTCCTTTGGCCAACTGGATTCTGCTTCGCCGCCGACGAAACATTTCTGCGATAGCAAGCATCATTAGAGGCATGTAAATTTCATGGCGCTGAAGGGCATGATACGTTCCTAATCCTTCGTCTAACCTAGTAATATACAATGATCCAACCTGGACTGCCAGCAGGCTTGCAAGAGAAGGGACGTCTAGCACGCTATCATCGACGTTGCGTGGGGGACGAGATGAGGGCAAGTGCGTTTGTCATATCGGTGGACGTAGTTTAGTACACAATGCGCAGCTTGTATTTTCGTCGTTGGCCTGAGCTGGTGGGACCACACTTACATGGCGCGACCTTCCCTACCCATATCCTACAGGTTCAACAGAGTCAAGATCCAACATACGATCTACATCTGTTAGATTGGGACAAACGTGGCAACCTCGCCTTCATCCCGTTTCGTCCCGTAGCATGGCCATGAGCTATGGGTTACATTGTGCCCTGCACCAAAGATAACTGTGGCGGGCAGGAAGTAACCTGCACATTTGATCACCCGCCACTCGCCGAAAGGGAGCATCTTGACCGCTAGGGCACGACTTAACAACACGCGATGTCCTTATCACTGGTAACCCTGGTGAACGCCTGCGATCCCCATGATGGCTGTGATATCTGACCTTTTGCAGGGGATCGGTGGCTTACGCTTGCGACGGGCATAAGAGCTTCACGTTTGATCATCCATCGTTCGCCTAAAGGGGCATTTTGACCCCTAGGGTACGACTTGCTGTATAGACTGTTTTACAGAATAATCATGGTGTGTTGACCCTGGCGCGAAAATGGGTGCCAGCGGACCGTCGGCTTAGTCTCTCCGGTAAGAACCCAGATTTCCAGAATGCCATCACAGCACCGAAAGGCGAAGCAGAGACAAGGGCTTGGTGAAAACCGGACTATACACTGATCCGAACCTTGCCAAAGCTGGAGGCCGAAAAATTGTGCACTGGCATTGGTACATGTATCATCGCCATGACCAATCAAACCGCTGTCAGTGTGCCATAAAAACGTCGATGATTTATTCAAAGAGGCTGTCAGCAATGAGAGCATCGACCACGATAATCCGGATATAAGGATTATTAATCCCGCTTAATTCCGGGCACGCGTTTCCCGTCACCCCTCCTATTTAGAGCCTCCTTGCCACTCACTACTATCAACCTCAGCGATGAGATCCAAGTTCAAGGATGAGCACCCCTTCGGTGCGTTCCCACCACCACAGGTTACGCCACCACAGGCCTGATTTTCGCCTTTATTAGAGAAGCGCAAGGCTGAGGCTGAGCGCATCCGGCAGAAATATCCAGATCGCATTCCTGTAAGCAAGCGCTTTGGTGCCCTTTGATCTCGATCTCGAGTCCAACGACCTGCCTCGTGTTGTAGGTGATCTGCGAGAAAGCGGATCGAACTGACATTCCGACCATTGACAAGAAGAAATACTTGGTACCCTCGGTAAGTGAGTCAACTGCGCGGGTGGGACCACGACACGCGATGGGCATACGCGTCCCCTTGTGTACCCTTTTTTCCACTTGCTCCCCTTTCATCATGACCACTTGTCTCAAAGCCACTCTGGTAACAGGACTTGACCGTCGGGCAATTCGTCTATGTCATCCGAAAAAGAATCAAGCTTGCCCCCGAGAAAGCCATCTTTATCTTTGTCGATGAGGTTCTGCCACCAACTGCGGCTCTCATGAGTGCGATATATGAGGAACACAAGTGAGTTCAATTTGCGCTCTTTCCGGTGCCGTGAGGGGTTCATCTGCTGACTCATCATTTCTATCGCAAGGGATGAAGACAACTTCCTGTATGTCACTTATTCAGGCGAGAATACGTTCGGGTCGCAGGCATTGGATCCGTCAGAATTTTTTGGGTCCTTGGATGGCGAATGATAGATCGTGGGCGTCGCGCATCTCTGGATTGGACTTGATTCTGACTTTATCCTCCGAACATTCTCCATCACGCGCCCCTTTATTCCTCACTCAACGGCCAGTTTCCATCCTCGACTTGTATTGTAATCATTATTCTGGAAATTCCGAAATATTCAGCACTAGCATAATGTCGTCTACATGTCTTGCCAATTCGCCGTCTCCCGCAGCTGCTGAAACTCTACTCGTGTCTATCTGCTTGGCCATACCATATCGGAGAATGCATATAATTAGGTGTAGCATAAGCAAGTCACGGATCATGAGGTTGCATACAACTTGACGATCCCATCTGCGCCAGCGCTCGCCAGGAAAGGTAAACTACCAGGGTGGAATGCCACAGCCAGCACGCCTTCATCCGCCTTCTTTCGATGGGTTGTAGATTCTTGGATGCAAGCGCGTGTGGTAAGCAGGTCCCAGAAACGCACTGAGCAATCGTGCCCTGACGTAACTAGAGTAAAACCGCTGGGGTCGATTGAAAGCGATGTCACGGAGTCGGTATGAGCGAGCATAGAATGTGTGCATTGCTCTGAAGAAAACAGTGTCATTTTTATGCGCGGTGAAAATGAGTGCAGAGTTCAGTTACCAGTGATAACATCAAATATGCGGATGTAACGATCTTCATGGGCTGTGACCAAGAGCGGCATGGTTGGATGTGACGTGATCTTGTTGATTTGTGTTCGAGAGGTCCCGTCTAGATAAATGAAATGCAACACACGATGAATTCCTCCGTGGCACTTAAGTCAGGAAGCTTAATACAACTCACCGTAACTGATGTCACTCTGCAGTTTACCAGTTTCAACTCCAGTTTCAACATCGAAGAATTTGACAATCGCATCACGGAAAGCGACGGCCACTTTCTTAAGATCCGTCTTGATAGGATCGAGTGTTGTTGCACCAAAGATATTCTTCTGGGTGTCGTCGTCATCCATATCCTCCGTGAGGCCGTGGTATCCCCAGCTGAGTTTGAGATGGCCGCCGCCATCGCCATCCGCGCCTACACTGGAGACATCCCAGACCTTGACGGCTCCATCGCCGCCGCAGCTCACAAGGGTTGTCTCATTCCGCACAAGAGCAATATCCCAAATAGCATCCGTGTGACCGACGAGGGTGGCACGCGCGACACCAGTTGAGGCCTCGAAAGGTGCGTATGTGGTGCGACTGGCCGCAGGCAAGGACCAAACGCGAATAGTAGCATCGATCGACGCCGAGTATAGGAGCCTCCGTGCGGGTGAGTGCACGAGCGCCGTAATCGGTTGAGTGTGACCGCGCAAAGTGATCTGAGGCTCGATTTCGGTTGTTGGTCTAGCGCTACGACCACCGTGTGAGGACTAATATTATGCCACATGGGCTAAGGACGAGATACTTACGAGGACGATGCCACCGTCGCAGGGTCCATGCGCCATATTTTGATTGTGTTGTCGTCCCCACCTGTGGCGAGACTTAGTTCAGTCGGATGGAATGATAGTGCCCGGACAGCATCCAGGTGACTAGGCCATTGTGAATCGTGAGGTCACTCAAAAATTTGAAAGTGCTCACCTCCGTAGCGTACGTTTCACCTTCCAAGACGAGGCCGTTGGGCCAGACGAACCATCGCTCGTAATGCTTTCGATTGTTGATTCCATGTCAGCCAACTCATCCTCTTCTGAGTGGTGTTGGTTGTCCGACAGCCCCGTCAAAAAACCTGAGCCGTCGCCTCAGATCACACCTCTCAGTTCGACGTTAAATTCGAGACAGGGGTTTAAAACTCACTCGACGCAGATTGAGCTACCATCGCTTGTTGAGACTCGTGAGCTGCTCTCAGTCGTTCCCGCCATTCTCCTGCATCGTCGGGGCGAAAAATAGCGGTCACTTGATTAGGTTCTGGAACAGAACGAGATTCCACTGCTTGGACTGCAACTGCGGCCAACACAGGTCCTGCAGCGGTGTTTTCCAGGCTCTGGGTGAGTTCGGATGACGCTGCCTGTGGTTGACTGGAGGGCTGAGGTATAGATTGTGAATGAGTCTCTGGTTGAGAGTCCTCTGGTGAAGCGTCTGGGATGGTGACAGTTATAGGGCGAAATTGATTATTTGCTGGGTCTAATGGTTCAACGGGTCCAATTGGGACTGCTGGTGGGGGCTGCAGGAACACATCTTTCGACACGTCTGGGACAGATTTTCGCGGTCGGCCATTCACAACTGTGTTTTGAGTGGCGGGTATCAATTGGATAGTACTGGGAATAGTGTGTACAGGGGCGTTTTGTTGCGGTTGTGATGATGGTACCGAGGGCACCTGAGATGGAGGCTGTGAGGGATAGAGGGGTTGCGGACCTTGAGGTGGCTGCTGTGGGTTTTGATTCGCAGGATAATCCACACTGAACGATGGGAGATTAGGGATGCTGACGGGAAGGTTTGGCGCACTGGCACTGGCGCCAAGGCTGAGAAGTTGTCGGTTTGGTAGTGGATTCACGGCTTGGTTGGAGGTTAGGTAAGTAATCTCCTGCAGGCATTGTTTGAGATAATCGCGGGATTTAGCACGGGATTTAGGATCACGGCTGGTCGGTGGTCGGCCCAGCCCCATGTTTGCCTGGGCATTGGTAGAAGTACCGCCTGCCCAAGTCGGTCCAGGATTGCTTTGAGATGCAGGAACGTGCGCAGGTGCACCATTAGGGGAAGCGCCTGAATTACTATCCAGATGCATGTCTGTAACTGGCGTCAATTCATGCGGACTGTGTCACAAATTTTGCATCACCTTCACTTGGAGAAGTGCGACCGCTCCCTGGTTTCTCTGCATCCGCTGTCACATCCTCTTTACTCAAATTACTTTTCGAGTGACCCTTGAAGAGTCCAGTGGCCGACTGGTTTCCTTGGAGTTGTTTGGATCTAGAGGAACCGTGAGCAAACGAGGTCGATTGTTTGTTAGACACGCGGCGACCTTTCGACACGTAAGGCGTATTCCAGCATCTTTATTCTTCGCATAAGGTCGAGCTTAATGTTCTCAAACGATCTTCGCTCGCCTTCTAGCAAAGCAATGCGGGCACGCATTTCGGCACGCTCAATGTCAAACTCATTTCTGTCCCGCTCATATCGTCTCCACTCAGACTGAAGATAGTGAAGCACACTTGAGAGCGTCCAATCTTGTCCTGAGGGAGGTGGTGGGGCAGCGAATGGCTGTTGCTGTTGCTGCTGATTAGGACCGCCAACTTGAATGTGAGAATTTCCTGGGGGTTGTTGCTGTTGTTGCTGGTTTTGGGGTAAGCCAGGCTGAAGGAGAGGCTGCATCGTGATCATTCGATGCGGCTGAGCGCGTCCCAGAGACAACGAATGAGAGTCTTGTCACAGACAGCAGGCAGAAGTGGTCGGAAGCAAATTTGTGCGGTGATATGTCCAAGCGTCTGGAAGTGTCTCGCAGCGCGAACCACTCGTGGAGGCGCCCGCCGCCTCTCTAATACCACATTTCAATGGACGCAGAGGCTAAGGCAGTCGTGGCTTGGCTGTCTACATACGACCTATCGCGTCCAGTGGCTAATATTGCCGATCTCAGCGATGGTCTCCCGCTTTTCGACGTTCTCTCCAAGGTGTACGCGCATCATTCTAACAGGAATGCATCTGGGAACATTCCTTGCTGATCTTCCAACCAACCCTTACACTCTGACAGTGACGCCGACTACTTTCGCGTTCCTGCACGGACATCTACTCAACAATCAGAGAATTGGGTGCTCAGGCAGAATTCTCTGAAGCGATTATATCGTCTCATCACTCAATATTTCACCGATGTGCTTCATCAACAAACCTCTGCCCTTGGCGTCCCCAACTTGCAAGACGTGGCGGAAAAACACGATGTGGCCCAAACACTGGCACTGTGCCGCCTCACGCTAGCCATTGCTGTACAAGGACCTCGAAACAAGAACGCCATTGAACGAATACAGAGGCTAGATGAAGCTGATCAGCGAGCACTGATGTTTGCTATCGAGCAGGTTTGTGCCCGTTTGATTTAAGTACCTTCCCTCTTGACCTTCCATGAAGGTCATGAAGAAAATCCCAAAACGGACTGGAGAGGCAGCCGGCGAAATCAGCATGACGGAGTCAGTTTCCCATTTCCTTAAGTGTGAGGCTTCAGCTCATCTTCGTACTCCAGCGACGATCACTACTACGAACTTCAAAATGACTTGAGTCGACTCACAGTCGAGAAAGAGACTCTGCAGAAAGCCTATCAAGCCCTCATGGGCGACCACCGCAATTTGCAGAACGGTCTTGTGTGTGAAATCTCAGGCTGTCATTTCTATTGCTGCGTCTGATTTCATGTTACCAAGGACGAAGCTTTGTCGGAAAAAGCTGACATCAGCAGCCGCTTGCATGAAGCGGAGCTTCGTGCGGATGAGTATCGCAACAGCAAAACTGACGCTTTGATGCGGGCTGAAATTGATCGTCTCCGCTCTGAAATGTGAGTGACATTGTCCTAGCCCTGGGTCTCGGCTTAGGAGGCCTGTAGTCAGAAAGCAGAGGACAGCCTTATCACCGCAGAAGCCGAAATTGAGAAGCAAAGCGCTTCTCTGTCCGATCTCACTCGGAAGGTTTTTCGGATTCTGTTGGGCCTGTAGCACATCTTTGACACGACAAACCTGTTCCAGAACGATGATCTTCAAATGCAAGCAAATCAGGCAGCAAGGCTCAAAGATCAAGTCGATGAGTGCGGAAGTCTACTACATCTCTGTACCCACCTAGCTCATTGAACACAGGTTACGCCATACCGCCGAAAAGGCCCAAAAGACGGAGAATGTGATGGGGAAATATAAGAAAAAACTGGAAGAAAGTGCAGACTTACGCCGGCTCGTGAAGGTTCAACAATTCCTGGCAGGGCCTCTGACGCAAGTCACTGATGATACCTCAGACTCTTGAGGAGCAAAACGCATCGCTGGTGGACAAGAACGCCTCCTTAGAAGAAGAATACCGCAAGGTTGCTACCTTTCGACCGCTTATGGATTCTTACAAGACCCAGATCGCTGATCTTGAAGCCAAAGCCTCTACGAGAGCGAAGGAAATTGAGACCCTCAAGTACGAGCTCACACAAACGAAAGCCAAATTGAATATCACACTTCAGGAACGGGTTCAGGATGCTGAAGCGCTCGAGCTTTACCAGGAAAAGGTGAAGGAACTCGAACTGACGGACTCCAGGAATCGGGCACGTAATCGTGGTGATGCAGTCTCTGCAGAATCACCTCAAGAAGCGTATGGCGGAACTGGTGGTCCTGACTTCGACCTCCACGAAGACACCAATCTTGGTGGGGAACTCGATGACGCAATCAGTGGCCGGACCATGACGGACCTCAAGCTCCAGATCAGGAGGCTCAAACTAGACCTCCAGGAGGCAAGGAATAATTCATCAGATGCGAGCCGGGTGATCGTCCTCGAGAATTTACTTGAAGATACCAATCGAGTTAAAGCGCGTTATGAAGCTGATTATCTCTCTACACACCGCGAGAAGCTCATGCTTCAAAGCCAGTTAGACGAAATCAGGAGTGGAAAATCAGGGGATAAGTGAGTGCACCCTGCCAAAAAAAAGCAAACAAGAAAAAAGGCTGACAACTCATAGCGCCGAGGTAGCAATCGCTCTAAGACAACGACTTAACGAGGTCTCAGAGCAGCTAGACAGGTTACGAGAGGAACATGCTCAATTACAAGTTACCTTCGACGCCCAAAGCCGCGAACTGGTAATCGCGAAATCTGATCGTGAGCTCTATTTCGGGCGCTTCTTTATCATTCTGAATTGCGTTTGTGGGTGTTCCTTAGTGAACCTGGTAAACAAGGATCAGCTCGATATCCTTGCGACCCTTCGTGAGTCCGTGAATGAGGACAAGAGCGGACTTGAGAATCAAGTACAGAAGCTTCAATCTCAGCTTGAGGAGCAAAAGGGGAAGAACAAAATGCAATTGGAGCAAATAAACACCCTTCTTATGGAGAAAGTCAACCTTCAAAGCGAAGGAATTGGACAGCGGGAGAAAATGTTGGAGCGGGAGCGTAATTTAACGTTGGTTCCCATGCCACTGCAATCATTTCCATCGCTCATTTATAATCCACAGAGACCTCCGGGCATCATTTGCTGGGGGAGACCTGCCAGAGGAGACCAAGACAAAGTTGCTCCATCTACACGAAGAGAATATTGCGCTGAAGGAGCAAGTCCGTACATCGCACGAGAAACTATTGAAGATGAGACAGGTGTGTGCTTGGCGTGTTATTCGTTCAGAGATACGTCGATGACTCTTTTGCAGTTTATCAAAGAGCAGGACCGCATGATCAAGGAGAATCGGGTTTCAGTACGCCGGTTTCCCTTGTTCCCGAACGCATCTGAGAATCCGATTTAGTCGGGCTCATCCTTCGAAGAGGCCGAAGAGAGTTTCAAAAGCAAGATCAGCATGCTTGAAGAAGATCTGAAACAATCTAAGGCTTGTTCTTTTTCGCGTTGCAGCGATCGCATCTAACATCTCGCCTTCGTCCAGACGAGGCTCAAAGAGGCCGAGCAGCGTTATCAAAAAGAACAGACGCTAATGCTCAGCTCCATTCATAATATGGGTATGGAGGTTGTCAGGGCACACCAGATTAACCCACGTCGCAACCCAGGGGGAATCATCAAACCCACAGCCTGGCTCACCCAACAGAGAGACAGCGTACGTCGTAACTTACTCCGAAATTAGCGATTGCTAATCATACTCGATACAGACAAGCGGCTCATTGGTGAGTTCTTAACAATGACCCAAACTAGAGAGCTCAGGAACCCACCAAACAGTGGTAGATTGGGAAATAGATTTAACTTACCCAAGTACTTGGTCACTTTAATGCGATACCCTGTCGTTAATTGAAGACGATGCGCAAACTCGCGTCCGGCTGTAAAAAAACCTGAGTATGATTGTTTCCACTGTTTCCACGTTTACCGCGTACTGTCAAACAACTCGAATCGAGTTCAGGAACTTCATCCAGCGCCCTGCCATCCGTTCCATTGCAATATCTGATTGCAGCCATCCGAACTAGACAACAATTATCATCTTCAGCGCTCAGATCGGCACGAAGTTGATTTAAACAACAAGTTACGTCCATTCCATGAAAGGCGGATCGGCCTACAACTCTAAAATCTCCGGGTCACAGATCCCCCTGTACGAGGTTATCATAATTATGGACTGATAAACAATCTAGCGGTGTTTCCGCTTGTGCAGCTCAATGCCCTATTAACTTTTCCTCCCGGCCATTTTGGGGATGGAACCGGGAGTGGCTGCATACACCTTCATGTTTCTATCCGTTGCCGACGTTGGAGAACAGCGCATAATGGTGCCGCGAGGTACTAGCGCAAGAATAATTTGCTGATGGCGCTGAAAGCCATGTTCACTGACACAATGAAACACGGGCAGATTGACAGTATATAATGACATGACCATGAGTCCTGATGACCAAACCACACCGCGCAGGAATGCGGTACAGCATGCCAGCGGAGCTTTCTTTGAAGGCAACTGGTAGTCTGTACTTAGTGGCTTCAAAACCATGACCCGATTACATCCATCACCACACATCCATCAATTCAGGCACGAACTCTTGTGTTAAACACGGACCCGTACCGTGAACGGCTTTGGATTCGAAGCCTATTGGCTCCACGTGAGAGAGTTCAGGATTACGCGGGGACGTTTTTCCTGGGAAAAAAAGGATCAGCGTGCGCGAGCATCAAATCTTCCCAACTCGCCGAATCCCCCAACTATTCCCATCATCTCACCAGGGCGGTTGCCCCACGTCTGGCCCGATTGAGTGATGACTGCAGACATCCATTGTACATAATCTCGGGCCGCACAAAGCACTCAAGTACTGCCCACGGAGCGCCATCAATCGGTAACAAATATGAAATAAGGATAAATCTCGGATTGCGGGTACAGTTCCTCGTTACATATGGTCCCTTGGTAGCGGCTGGGATCTTCAATGATTCTTTGATGGATAAAACCCACTCATTTATGCCTCCTCCCACCTCACTCCAGACTGGAGGCCATGGACAAGCCAGACAGTGATATTGGTGCAGAGTATGAGACGAAGTCTGAACTTCGCCAGATACGTCCTAATGGCAGACCTACGGAGGTGGAGACTGATCATGTCACCGCTCGACGAGTTCGCACAAAAATCGACCTTATTGTTCTATCAACGATCAGTCTAATATGTCAGTGTCTCTTGATAGGAAGCCGAGTTTGAGCCCTAGCTTACTGCTCCCAGACTTTTTAAACTTCATAGTGAGGAGGCTTGACAGGTCTCGCAACCGTCATCTGATGCTTCCCTTCTTGCGGAGGATAAAACAAATCTAGGTGCAATTGATCCATTGCTCATGGTTCAGCATGAGATTCTCAAGATTTGTTCGATTGCACAGGGAATGCCGCGAAGGCAGGGCTTCTAAAAGATCTCAAAATGACATCGTATCAGTTCTCCGTCGTTTTGAGTATCTTCTTTGGTAAGTGATCTGGGCAAGGCCAACATGTTAACAGTGAATCACTTGGAAGCATCCTGTCACGCCAGTGCCCTACATGACTGTGGAAATGGTTTCCAATTTTCTTGTTCGAAAGATCGGAGCCCATATATTTGTAACAGGTCTAATACTCGCCTGGGGCATCGTGGAAACATTCCAGGGTGAATAGCAGAGTATTTTATCTATTAGCCTAATCGTTAACTATCCGCACAAGGCTTCGTTACTTCCTACGAGGGTTTAATTGTTTGCCGAGTCTTTCTGGGGTTGACTGAAGGTATGCCTACACCATTCTGCCTCGCCACCTATCTTACGTCGCACTAACTTTAGGACCACTGATCCCTGCTGCTGTCTTGTATTTATCGGAGTGGTACAAACGCCATGAGTTGCAACAGCGAATGGCTGTATTGTTCAGCGCAACAAGCCTCGCGGGCGCATTCTCTGGGTTGTTGGCGTTCGCTATCATTCACCTTGACGGAAAGGGAGGCAAGCCCGGATGGAGGCACGTCAGTTTTCGCTGTACGTGACCCACCTATACTGACATCTGAAGGTAGTTGGATTTTCTTCCTGGTTCGTGCTTCGAAAGTGAAGAAGCGCTGCTAAACCATTGCATCTGACACAGGAAGGTATTGTCACCATCATCATCGGAGCTGCCGCCTTCTTTGGCTCCCGAAAGACATCGCATCAGCCAGGTTTCTGACCGAGAAAGAAAAGGCCGTAGCTTTAGCTAGACTTGAAGAAGACATGACGCTCAACGAGGCAGGGGAAGAATTCCGATTCTCAAGTGTGTGGTCGGCTCTCAGAGCCCCTCACGTTCTGATTTTGAGCACTAGCTGCTTTTATGTCGGTACGCAATTTGCGCCCCATTGCGTTTTTTTGTGTGTTGACCCAAATCCATTCAGGCTACCTCATCTTCGGACTGGCTTATTTGTGAGTTTCATCGGTTCATCATTCGAGAACATTCAACCAACAGTAGGCTAGCCTCCCTACTGTGGTGGGAAGTCTAGGTTATTCTCCCGCTAAGACCCAACTTTATGGAGTGCCTCCCTTCGCTTGCGGATTTGTTGGTGCGTTGTACATTGGTATCGCGAATACATGGATCGCTGACTAGGCCGATGTAGTGAGTTTAGCAGCCGCGCTCTTCAGCGACAAATATCATTGTCGAGGTCTTGTTGCCATTGGTGCCAGCTTTCTCGCTCTTGGCGGCTTCATTATGATGTACAGTTCGTAAAAACCTCCTACTTCCTGATCAATGATGCTGACTCTTGAGTTTACAGAAAGTATAAATGTTCATGTTAGGTACGGGTCACTATTCGCTCAAACGATTGGCGTTTCGGTCCTCACGCCTTGCACGGTTACGTGGGTCCCAAAGTACGATTTCCATCTATCCTCAATGTTATCGAAACCGGCTTAATGTTCTGACAGTAATGTCATGCCTCATTATCGTCGCGCTACAGCTATCGCATTAGGTATTAAACTTCAGTTTCCTACGTTTGAATCTCGCTCATTTCCTGGTCAGTATTCATAGCTGGTAGTGCCGGGGGATTACTTGCAACTTGGATGTATCACGATGCACCTCATTTCTACAAGACTACGAGGGTCAACATCGGTCTCACAGTAGGTTAGTGTCTTTATTCATCGTTATCTGGAGATGACGACTGATGATGGTCGTAGCATATATCCTCCAATGTGCTGTGGGAATTGCTTATTTGCATTATCAGAATTTACAGAAGGCCAAGGAGCGCGCAATGCATCAGAACATTCCTGATGAGGATTCCGAGGCGAAGAGGGCACTGGGCGACAAACACAGAGACTTCATATACACGCTCTAATGACCCGAATTTGGTGCCCATGCCGTAGAACTTGTATGTATCCACGTAAATCAATGCGCTAATCCTCATTGGCGGCACTACACCCTTTTGTTAAACCCTTGCATGGCGTAATGTTGGTGAGAATGTCATCAAATCCAGACACACTTAGAACGATCTAGCCGAGAAGCACAGTATGCGAACTCAAGATCGGTAGGGCCAGAATGGTAAGCTTCTATCATTTGGTGGGAAACTCAATTCGGACTGGATGCCTCCACAAGAGCTGAGAGCTTGGCGCTTTCAGCCCCTGACCTAGGCTTTCGTCACATAGGCCGTCTGTTGCAAATCTCTGTGAGGGCTTGGTTGGCAAGACGCGGGTGTCTTCCCGAGGCTGAAGAATCAGATAACATCAAAAATAAACTGGGTGATGGGTGAGTCGGGATGTTGATAGCATTGCAGATGCAGATCGTAAGATGACATGCAGTGTATTAAGTGGGATGAATGCGGGGATGAACGAGCACTAATGAGCTGCACCTCTCAGAGGAGCATAGTCACAACCTTTCATTTCGAATCATCGGGTACACTCTCACCCTGACCATGTGCGGGAGACCTGGACGAGACGTTCCATGAAAGCTACGTTGTTTATGAAGAAGTCAGTCTCAGGATATAGAAATCCGTTTCGAGTCACTCGCCATTCTTATCCTGCCATAAATCAGCGGCCTCGGCGTTAAGGGGTGATTCGTTATTTGGCTCTGGGAGTGAATTCCTGTCAGCTTGAAGATACTCATAATTGGCAGCATTTACCCCCGAGCAGCGACTGGATGGACAACAGAATGGATTGGGCACCATACACCGCGCTCCACTTCTCCTGCGACTAAGCTCAATCATGATGGAATTGGCACATAAGCATCATTTCTTCTACCTTGAGGATGCTATAGACGACCATAAGTATACAAAGCCTAAATCCGATCGGGAAACTTAATAGCAGTACTCACTCCAAGCAAATCGCTCCACCCGAGAGTGCAACATTTGGATGAAAACATGGGGTAATAAACGTAACTACCGGCGCAGCATATGGATAGGTCGGAGGAAATATAATTGAAAGCTTGAATGTGAGCCCAGCATAGTACTAAAGTTGGGGCGTTCGAATCATATTATTTTCCAGCCAGGGCTACACTTACCGTTCCCGTTGGACCTATGATGGTAGCAACCCAGTCGAACAAGTCCGAATCAGAGCGGGGGAATGCTGACTAAGAAAAAGGAAATGGTCACTGGAAATCAACTATGCAGAGGACATAGAATTGACATACTATTCCAGGGGTATTTGACATCTGCGACCAAAGGTCTTCATATTTCTCTTAGTGAAAATAAGGTAGACTACCCACCATTAACTGCATCAGCTCAGAGCTCAGCCTGGCCAAAGGCATTCAGAGTCAGTAAGTTCTATCAGGAAAATCGGCCCCGCATCCGCACCGTTTGGTCACGGTGCCCGAAGATGGTGCCCCGGATCCTCCAACCCGGGAGCTCTTTTGAGGATCCTCCCGGGGAAGCTGCGAAGGCGACTCCATCCTGTGTCTATTCACTTGGTTGTACGAGCGAATGTAGGGCAGCAGGAAACACAACTCCCGGTCTGTGTGTGGGTCTGTTGAACGTTGTTGTCCAGTGGCACAAACGTGTCGCGATTTATTCATCACGTGCTCGCGGATGGGGCAGAGCGGCCCTCATATCACTGGTTGTGCAGTTGCCCGTGTCACTCTCAACGTCGGCAAGCTCTTCAAGAAGCACGAAACGGACAGGTGCCTGCGGTGCTTGACGCACCAAACTTGCCCTCGCAATGGCCTGGCTACTACTACTTCGTTACCTTTTTCTCAGTAAGCGCTCTTTGCGTTCACCAGCTTCTCTCTTGCGCCAGCGTTGATATACACCGATTGATAGGTCTTTTGGTCGTCATTGACTCTTGTGTACTCATCCTATCTTCCACCGTTTTTTCTATCGCCGACACTCACTCTGATTACAGTGCGTGGTAGCTTCCATTGATTTGATGCTTCGGTCCTTGCACTGCATTCCTCACACCTTTTCCTCAACCAGGACCCATCTACGTCTATCTTATGTTCCTGTCCATCTTTACTATATTGTTTGTCTTTTTCCTGTGAGTCTCGCAGCTGTGCAACGCATGCACGACCCCTAACATATCTTTTTTGTGCAAGGATTGTGATCGACTCGGCTCGCAAGGGTGCCCTACTTACTCATGTCCTTGTTGAACTGCTCTGGCTGTCTGTTCTCTGGACGATGCATCTTGGTATGTGAACTCGTTGATACTCAGTTGGGGGGCATATCGAGATTTCCTTCAGGCGGGGCCTCGGCCCTGACAGCTGCATCACAATGTCGATGGACGACCTCCTGCTCTTCCACCCAGACTTCCTTGATCGTATTCTTGTGGCTCTCAGTTACCAATTGTGCGTTGCTCCTTTTTAGCGTACTGTGTGTGATTTCATGAATGACCTTGGTTACAGTGCTTGGTCACCTCGCGACACTTCTAATATCTGCTTTAATGCATCTCGACCGCGAACCAAACATATGGTCAACGAGTGTGCGAGACGTTCCATGGTTTTCCTTCCGGCGTGTTGCCGCGTCCACTGTATATCGGAACACCCAGTCGGGAAAACACGAGTCCGACGCTCAACGCCCGTCACGCGCCGCCGGGGAGAACCCACATGCCCTATTCCCTAATCGGTCTCTGGAAAACAACCCACGGGCGTGGCGATCTCGTTATACGAATGAGTCGTTTAGCGAGCCAGCACCTAATGAGAGGCACTATGGGTTTGCCCATAACATGGAACCCTCATCAAATGAAGGACTGGTTCGAACTTCTGAGGAACCACCGCCTCAAACTATTCCGATCTCTGTCGAGCGTCTGGCCCCGCCTGTTGATCGAAATGCTCCATCTCCACCTTTAAGACCCGACCACTATGCCCCGCCAAGACAACACCGATCGGCATACCCTTCTCACGCTGTCGAATCATCAGAATATCCTGCGTTTCCTCTATCAAACCCCCCTTCCGCGACGAGACAAAATCAAACCCAATCCTTGCCTCCGCGGTCATCTGGCAACAACACCTCACTGGTGCCCATGTACAGTGCGCCTACGCCACCTCCACGACGCCACCGAACATATCCAGATGGGAGGCCGATACCTGATCCGCGGGCGCTACCTCCGACGCCTGCTGAATTGAATGCTTTGTATCCGTCATCCGTTCAAACTATGATGAGACCAATGCCACCGACACCGTTGGATCAGCCTCGGTATCCATCGACTCGGAATGGGGAGGTAGATTGGAATAGTTTGTCGCCCGCTCAGCGGATCGCTATGGAGGTGCGATCGAGGAAAAGCTAGCACTCACTCTTGTGTCATGTTCCTATCTTCATTTCTGGGTGGAGTGGTTTACATGTATATATATGCAATTCACCAGTTGCAGGACATAGGTTATATTTTTCCGCAGAATTCGCCACATGGATCATAGATCGTGGCTCTGCGGACAGTATAAATCTGCAGGAGCCACACGGATTGATGAGTGGTTCCTTCGATACCCTGATCGTGCATGGCACATAGTCACTTCTCAGTGTCTAATCTTTATACCTTGCTGATCCCGCTAAGATGCACCCAATCTCGTGAATAGTCCTCATGGAAGTGATTCCACTTAACAACGGTGCCCATACCGATTCAGAAAGAGATGGGATCGCCTGCGAATTAAACGTTCAGGAGACAATCGTTGTCCAACGTTGCCCCTCAACCGCAGATCAATAGTTATATAAGGTAAGTCCATTGATACAAGATCGTACGGTAGAGCGCAGCATAGATGACTGGGAGACCGAGCCTTGACTCTCGACAGACGCCACTGGGGCATTGGTAGCACACGTCAATAGAGGCGAGACATTGAAATGCAAATATTCTATACAACCGATGCTGGCATTCTGACCCATGCATGGAGATCGCCTTCTCGGGCCCAGTTCTCTGAGCGCGTGTAAACCGAGTATTGTACTTGGTGTTTATGTTACATTCATGTCATGCACAACTACCCGGATCGACGCTAACTTACTTTCTACAAAGCGGAGCATGTGGGGGGAATTAAATATGAATTTATCGAGGCTGTCATCTTATGTAATGTTGTCTGCTTTGGTAGAGGCTGGGGTCCCGCCTAGTAATGCTGTGTCCGATGAGTCGGAATATGAATAAGCATACACCGCCGAATGGGAGATCCGAAACGGATATGCTCAGGTCGGTGTCGACCTATATGGACCAGGGGGTCGTCGCTAAGGATGACAGCTCATGACGGCGACTGGCGCTCAATCACAATATCGCGTGCGACCATCGCTTCCCTTTACTGCTTTATCAATATTGCTTGGTTATCAACCGTTACCTTTTATTGATGGTATCCACAAGTACCACACCAAACATCTAGAACAACAATTATTGTTCTGTCCCCCACCCGACGGCGCCCGGCCACCGAGAACCCGAATAGGCAACTATACTAACTCATAGCAAGACTGTACTAAGGACCGTTCATGAATTTATCTCGTCAAAATGACTGAAAAGAGAGCGATCCTGGACCTACAGTGATCTGATCATCAGTTGCACCCCCGCAGTTGTCCGGCACAGTCGGCCATGTTCGATTGATCCAAAGGATTGTGTGCAGTGTATGTATCCTTTACATGCTATGGCTCCAGAAGTACCACGGGGACAATTGCTTTGTGTGGCGCCACCTGCCGTAACATTCGAATTGGGGCGCCGGGTTAGTTAATAGGAAGTCTCTGTTTGTTGGAGGAAATATATATATATTTGTATCGATACCGGTACCTTCTAATTCATAGCCAGTGTCCCTCCTACTCCCTAAAGCTAACACTCGTGATGTATGTCAGTGATTGGTGAATCTTGTAATTTCTCTTTTTTCTTTTCCTGTCAATCCAATTTGCAGAACAGAAATTCGAAAAAAGGCTCAACCGCTGCATCATTGGCCAACGGGCTGAATCGGAAAGATATGGATTTTGGAGCAGCCGTTCTGTCTGCATGCATATTATAGGTATGAAGTATCATCAACAGTTGAAATTTCATAGATCTATTTAATCTCCGGAGGGACGTGACGTCCTCCAACTCGAGTGATCAGGTAGCCCGGGCTGTCCACTGAAAGCTACGGTAGCTATGGGGATCCGAAATATCGAAAGCAAAGCTGTCTAATTTGCATACACAACGATACGAAATTCTTCGCAAGGCAGCGCTTTCAAGCATTAAGAATTCAACTGCAAGCGGTTGCCAGTTCAAAATTCAGTTTTTCACCAGTTAGCGTGTCTCGGGCCCAAGACGACGTAGAAACGGCGTGAGAACAAACGTGGATATGGACATACCATGAATGGTCGTGAGACCTCCACAAATTATTATACCCATGGATACACGGTACAGATAGCCTTGCAATCCCCTGAACAAATCAGCTCCCATTACACACACATCTTATCTTGCGCTTCCTGCACCCATTCCAGGCTGATTCCACGAAAGTTTCGACATGTCGCCAAGTTTCCTACAAATATAACGTTGAGTCCTCCGACTGACTCCCACGAGGGGCAAAAGCAGCAGGGCTTCCACCAGCCACTTCGCGCTTCCGTTGGATTCAACTCACCGTGGCGAAATTAAATGCCGTATGGTGCCGGCAAGACCGAGGGAAACAAAGACACAAGCGGTGGCGACATAAGCCCAGCCCATGAACGGGTTCTTTCCTCCCACCCACGAGACGGTGGAGAGCACTATGGATTTTGTGCCCCCAAACTCAGTGACGGGGAAGTCTGGATTAGAAACTGTTAATCAGGTGCGCGAGATTGACTTGGGAAGGGGGCTTACTCATGAAAATTGAGATCTCGTAATCGCCTTTACTCATGACTTCGTGGTCGTTACGGAAGTAGAGTTTCGTGAAGGTAGGAAGGCCAGCAGTGCGCATCCAATTCTGGAAATGTTCGTCATCCTGTAACTTTGGTATGTTATTCTGAGTGTAGCCGTTTGGGAATCGGAGAGCCCAGTTTGGCGGTGGGACAACGTTGGAGAGATTGCCGAGGTTGGGATTATTGGAGTACAGTTTCTTCAAGTCATACCACGCAATACCCTTGTCGGTGAAGTTGTATGTGATATTTTGGCTATTGCCGATTAGGATGGGTGGAAGGAAGGTGTCTGTCAAGGAGGTGAATCATCGGTTCTTCTGAACTGGGAGACTACGTGCCATTGAACAAGGAGTTAGCGATGAGTCCGCAAGGATATATTGCCTTGTCTGTGCCATTAACTCTCATCTTGCCCAGTGGCTTGCAGTTGCCGCCGTCCAGGTCACTGGCACTCCGGTAATTTCCTTTCAGTTGAGATTTGTCCAAGCTTTTCACATATCGACGATGGTTTTGGAAGAAATTTGTGAGCCTGTAATACAAGAAAACCGAAGGTTCGAGGTCCGCAGGTAAGTTGAACCGAATGCGACAGTGATGTTGTGTTGAAATATCAGAGTTTGAGTCGTTCACGAATGACCACTGGGGAGCAGTAATCGATAGCCCACGGTCCGACGAGCGCAAATCGTAGTTATAATTCGGGACGTTGCTAAAGGTTGGACTAGCCTTTGTGTCGCAGTTTGTATAGTCAATCGTGATTTTGGTCACTTTGTTGCTCCCCCAAATCAAGAGCCCGCCGATTGGGGCAAAAATTATGCCAATGAGGAAAAGGGTGGGGAGAACGGTCTTGGGTGTGAGGATGGGTTGCCAGGCTTTCAGTCGCTGTTGCTTGAACGCAGTATCTAAACGCCGGTCATTCTTACCCATGCCCGAGGCAAGTGTGAACGGTGGAAAGCTTACTCGCAGGTCTCTTCCATGCTCCTTTTTTCTTCCCCTCTGAGTCGAGTCCCTCCGCTGGCTCAGGATCCTTGCTCTTGCGACTGAAGAGTGGCATGATGATGGCTGTCTTTGGGAAAGTGAGAGTGCTGATGACACCGGGATGCTGTGCCAACTTCGGGCGAGACAACTTTACGTAAGCGATATTCGGACACAACCGTCTCAGTTCCCGCGGTACATTACTTGTCGTCAGAGGTTCCAACAGTACTGCGCCTAGCTGCGCGTTTCCTGAGCTACACCGGTTGTTGTAGTTAGTATGTCGTCAGCCTGGACGTCCTTTTCTCCGACGCCACAGGAGTTGGCCTATGCACAGCTCCTATTCAACAAAGTTGATCCATCCAAGTTGGGAATCATCACGGGTGACGCTGCTATTTCTTTGTTTGCGGGATCCAACCTCCCTCCAGAAAAATTGGGGGAAGTATGGGCCATTGCCGACCATGACAATAATGGTTTCTTGTCTAAGAAAGGTGCTGCCGTTGCCGTGCGGTTGATCGGTTGGGCTCAGTACGGGGAAGATGTTAGCGAATCTTTATTGCTCAAATGTGAGTGTCAACAACTGAAATCCTACAGGCTTCTACTCATGTACAACACTTGTCGCTTAGCGGGGCCTCTCCCTACCATTGCTGGCATTCAGTATCCAGAGCCCAGTCGAAGTGCGAGTCCACGCGCAAGACCACAGTCCCCAGTCAGAACCTCCGCTCTGGGACCAATAACGCCCGAGGACCGTTCCAAGTACCTGCGGCTATTCGCCAACTGCAATCCGACTAACGGTCTTCTTAGCGGTATGTTTCTCGTAGTTAAGCATGCAGATGTCTTAACCCCTGTACCAGGCGACAAGGCTCGCGATGTGTTCCTAAAATCACGATTACCAGTTGAAAAGCTGGGCCAGATATGGTATGCGGTGATGTGCCCCTTTCGTCTGCGATTGTTCTCAGGTGACATCTATTTGTTTCCTCCATAGGGGACTGGCCGACTCCCAGAAGCGCGGTGCCTTGGATGCTGCTGACTTTGCTGTCGGCATGCATCTCATTCAAGCGGCAATGGCGAACCCGGCCTTCGTGATCCCGGGATCACTCCCTCCGGCTATTTTCGAACAAGCGGGGAAAACTCCCGCTCCTGTTGCGGCACATTCAACTGGTGGCTCCATAGCGTCGCCTACACTTTTATCTTTCCCTTCAAGTCCATCCTCTCAACCGCTGAAACCTCAGTACACAGGGCCAATGCTGAAGCCCCAGGCGTCCCTTCGCGCCGGGACGGCATCCAGGTCAACCCCACTGCATCCCGGCATTCCCCCAGCTTTGTAGCCCGGCGTTTACGACCCCGTCTAACTCGGCTGCACCTGTGTGGGACATCACAGAGGCTGAGAAGTCAAAATCTGATGGCTTTTTTTCTTCTTTGGACCCTCAGGGGCGTGGATACATTGAAGGGGATGTTGCTGTCCCGTTCATGCTCGAATCGAGGCTCTCCGAACAGGTTTTGGCCCAAATTTGGTATGCGTGATCAAGAGATCGCTTATTTTTTCGTCTAATTAGAGTTGCAGGGATCTTGGTGACCTCAACAATGATGGGAAACTGACTCGTGAGGGGTTTGCAGTGGCAATGCACTTGATCAGCAATCAGCTTGCGGGGAAGCCAGTTCCAGATGTTCTTCCCCCAACGCTCGTGCCACCCAGCCTTCGTGGAAAAGACTCTACTGGAACACCAGCCCCTGCTCCTCCAAGTACGTGTGTGGTAATTCATCTGAACGGGACTAATGACTCTGATTCAGGCGTTCAGCCTGACTTATGGTCTTTCGAGGAGGATTCTCAATTAGTAGCCCCGGTGGCCCTGCCCCAGTATCGTCCCAGGTGCAACCTCTGGGTTTTCAGACTCCCAAGCCTCCTGTCACCTCTCCGAGGCCTTTCAGCCCGCGTCAGTGGCCAAGTTGACTCTTCAGTCTTCTCCTGACCCTTTGTGACAGCCCTTCAAGGCCGATCTAATACCCGAGATTTGCTAAGCGACGACGAAGACGCAGGGACGAAAGATGCTTTGCCTCCCTCTTCCTCAGTTATTGGTAACACGAAGAATCAGCTCGATTCAACGACCGCATCTTTGAACAAAGCCAAAGCGGAGCGCGAACAACTGGAACGCACTGTCACGGAATCTGCTGCTCAATTGGCGCAACTTGAATCTCAGTTGGCGTCGGCGAAAGCTGCGCACGAGATCGAAACCAAAGTCGTCGATGACCTCCGAGCAAGGAAAGCTGAACAGACAGAGAATATCCGCAAGACTCGTGAGGAGCTTATTACCGCCGAGAGCGATGTTAGCGCCCTCAAAGCGGAGAGGGCAGAGATTGAAGGCTCCATACTTAGGGACAAGGAAGAGATTCGTGCTCTTCAAAAGATGCTGAAGGAGGTCGGTGACGCCGGAGCACCACGAAGGCTGATTTGGAGAAGCTCAAAAAGGACGCCCGTCAGCAAAAGGGTCTCCTTGCTATCTCGAAGAAACAACTGGCAATGCCCAGAGCGAGCATGAACGGCTGCTTACTGAGCTGGCTGCAGAGAAGGAGGATCTAATGAAGATAAATGATGAAATCGCCGAAACGGACGATGCTATCCAGGCGTTGTCGATCGCGCCTGAGCTGTCTCAGCCTGACGTTGCTGCTCGAGCAACTTCACCAGTCAACGTCGCGTTGCCCGAAACCCCAGATCGTATGGCAAGCCCAGCCTCTGCAAAAGAGCAACAACCCCTTCGGTCGTTTTGCTTCAAGCGTCTCGACCCCTCCTGCACCTGTGTTCCACCCGTTCGGAGTTCAGGATGAAGTCATTGGGGAGCTTGTTCTGGGGAGGAAGGCGACCGACCCGTTCGGAGCTGCATATGGATTAAGCGATACAACAGATGCCTCACATGAAGATCCAACTCCCTTGAAGGATACTGAAGACTCAAAGCCGTCCACTGTGCTTGCCACTCAGATCCTCAAGCGCCAATGACCATCTCTGACCTCGAGGAACGCGCTGCAGATAAACTCGTCGAGACGCCAGTACCCATTTTCGAGACAGAGACATTTGTACCAACGGGACAGCCTCACCAGCAGAACACTCTGCCACTTCTCATCATGGTCATGGTGATTTGCCACCCCTCAAAGAAGTTGAACCGACAGAGGAAGATTCCTCAGATGATGACGATGATATCCCGCTAGGGATGCTAAACGCAATGAATCGCCCGAGCCAGGATGCCTCCCTTTCCCAATCAATTGAGCCTTCGACCAATGAAGTGAATGCCGGTGCTACCACGGAAATCGTATCTCCGCCATCACCAGTACTTGGAAGTCGGCTTTTGACGATGCATTTGGTATTACGACCCCAGCTACGACAGGCATGCTTCCGCCTCCTCCATCCTCAAAATCTGGCACAATCGGTTCGAAGCGCGGCTCTCCAAAAGACTCAAAGGGTACATGTTCGGTGGCAAGCCGTTATTCGGGGAATCGCCGTCCACAAAGGAGTCCAAGCCCCTCTTATGGAACCATCCAAATCGACCTCGTCAAATATCCCCAACAATTTGGATGCGTTCGGGGGCAGTGTGTCTAGTCCAGCATTGCAGAACGGAAACCTGAAGCCTTTACATTCCAATCCACTTTGACGATACATTTGATTTCGGCTCCGAATCTGCCCTTACTACCGAACTTCGGCCGCTAAATGCTGCTTCTCCCCCCAACAGACAAATGGTCATGTTGTCAAGTCTGATGTGACTGGAACGTCTTTCCATACCCCTCTGTCGTCTCCGCATACGGATGTAACTGGGAGTACATGGCCAAGTGTACCACCGCACAATAACGAGGGCCCAACTCCATTTGATGCTGCGTTCAACGTCTCCCCAAGTCCCTCCGACAATCAGTCTGCTACGCAGCTTTCCTCCACTTCCAATTACCAGGCACTCACTTTTAATGATATATTTAACTCTGACGTAAATATCCCAGCGCTCAAGGCACCCGGCGCGGAGGCATCATCCCAGGACAAAAATCCATCGCAGTTATCCACTTCGCCCATATCACCGCCCTCGGGGAAACAGGATACGCCCAAACAGCCGACAGAGGGTAATTCTGGATCTGGACTGCCCAGATCACCTTCGCCACACCTCTTGCTCAGTCACCCGCACATTCGCGTCCATCTACTTCCCCACCCCCTTCCCCTAGGCGCAAGAAATCGGATGCCACTGAAGCCCCGTCAAGGTCATCGAAATTGCTTCGGTTTGGATTCGGCAAGAATAAAGACAAGAAATCGAAGAAAGTTGTACCAGTGGAGGGGCCCCCACCTGCGCCAAGCCTTCCTCCTCGTCCGCGCCGTACGGGTTCACTTTCTGTCCCAGATGTCATTGGTTCTGTGGGCCCAGATGGAGATATTCAACCTGTTCAGACACTTATGGATATGGGTTTCTCGCGGGAGCGCGCCGTTGACGCCCTCGAACGCCACAACTACGATGTTAATACTGCTCTCAACAGTCTCGTTAAATGAAGCTGTGTACAAGATGGGGACATCGGGGAAAACTGTACGACCCAAGGTTGACGATAAATATTATTGCCTTTGTAACTGACACCCTTACTCGCAACACTCCTTTATTTTTCCTAACTTCGAGCGCGGGTGAGACCGCACTCGTTCGCTTCACTTTGTCATGGATGTTATTTACCCTCGTGTCAAATTCCCCAGCTCTGGCTTATACCATTGCGGCTTACGATTTCGGATCTGCCCCCCTAATACACATCTATCTATTTACTCACATGCACGAAGTCCAATTCGCTGATGATGTCGGCTCTTCCGATTTGTGCTTCTCCCGTTAATTTCCGTGGATCGAAGTGCCATATCTAAGCGCCAGCATATTTTCGCATCCAGGTCTCGAGTCAATCTTCACCTTTTTTGGCAGTTCCAACCCAACCCAAACTGCACGGTTCATCGACAGATGCACCCGCCTTCGCGCCTCTTTTTGGTCCTGTTGCCGCGTTCTCATCGATTGCAGATCCCCACAGTCCCTCCTAACACCGCTGGCCCGATCCATGCCGTGGCTTCTTCCATCCATCCATTTTACTATAATCGCCATATGATAGCCAAAACTCTATGTATCGAGCTCACATTGCTTAAGTGTGGGGGTCAAATGAGATGATTATCGTCTGGCTGACACATCTGCGCGGTTATAGCTGTGGGCTTAAAGAAGTCCACGGACTTCTTGATGCAGGAAATGCATCCCATCCCTACTAATGTAATCAATAAATTTACAAGTACTGTGAGAGAGGGTACGGTGCAAGACTAGTATGTTCTCCTGTTGCTCTCTGGTCGTTGGACAGGATCCTGCTATAGTGGTCCTATACGAATGCTCAGGAACTCCAACCATTTGTTTCAAGGTTATTGTTACCCGAAATAGCTTAATGCCCACAAGTGCTGCCCTTCCTTCCTAGATTCTGCCTTATTGGTTCAGCTTAGTGTTGAAGGCGGCCAAAAAGATCGCAACATTGAGGACAGCATCGGCGACCCTATGTAAATCGCTGACAAATACGATAGATCATCAGCGAATCGAGCATTTCAGTGTCCGATTCTGACTATTTCGAGCCCCTTCAAGTGGCCCGGAGGTAATGAGACGAGGGGATCCTGGACGCGTACGCCCAACTGGCCAAAGAACCTCTGCCCTACAATCCACAGCTCAAAGAATAGGGATCAAAGACACTTTGTTTTAAGGGACACAGGTTATTTTAGGGCATGGACGATGTGCGCTGGTGCAAAATGTCCATGTTATTCAATAAAGTCCTTCCCTTTCTCCCGTTTCTGTGCGATGGTCCTGGAAACCATCGATCATACATCTTTCCAGGCGACTTCTATGAACGGACTTCCAGCGGAAACGGGCACCAAAATGTCGGTATCAAGCATCACATTGCCTTCCGCATGACGCTGATCTCGAATCTAGTCCTTCCGCAGCAGAGGTAACATCCTATTATTAGCTTTATGCTCAGGGTCCCGATCGAGACATTCTGATTGGAAAAGACAACAGGTTCGGCCACGCGGAGCCAATCAAAGACCATGTCGCCATTATGAACGAATGAAAAACTTGGTGCCTTACTACATAAGTCACAACATTAAAACTCAGGTTCCGTTCAATGGATGATCGATATCCAAAACCCTTGCTGTACCAAGAGAGCAGGATAGGAAATGAATCTCAAGCTATTCGATCAGATTTTTTTTTTTGCAGGGAGCATGAGTTGCCCACGCACCAAATCCGAACCAACGTCCCGTTCGAGAAGCGAAGGCACCGTTAGCACGGGCGCTGAAGGCTGTTTCCCTTGAGAGCTTTTCACTTGAAGAACGTACGAGTCATTAATCTTTGGCCTGAACTGTATCCAATGCGGTGCACCGTGTACCACCTCGTTTCCCTTGAGACCAGAGTAAATTTGGGGGAGTTCAAGTAGTATTCCCGATGGAACACCATCAGCAGAAGTGAGCCAGCCAAATGGGTCGCAACCAGGTCATGAGATAACACAACCGACGCATTAGAATGGGAGGAGAGCGCGGAGTTGCCAATACCAACTGTGCTATACTTGGTATTTACCGCAGCATGCATTCCCGTCGATCATGCCATACAGTATGGCAAATCACCAGCAAGTATACACGCACCCAGAAGCCATGTTCGAGTGACGAACACAGCTCCATTTGGTAGAAAGAGGAGGGTACCTAGAATTATGCCCGCCTGGAGTTGTGCAAGAGACTCGCGTTTACAAAGGAAGATGATAAATCGCAACCGCACAGGAGAGTTTCGCCAGACGTATCTACTTGAATGCCAGGAATCACCGAACAAGAAGCGATTCATATGTAATCGCCAGTTCCATAACTTTGGCACGTCACCCGAGTTTCCCAAGCCACGCCTTTTTACGTGATTATGAATGGTACTGCGGAAAGTGGAGGTAGGTAGGTGCCTTTGCCCGCATTGAGCCTATCCACAATATGTTAACACCAGGTGAAAATCACTATCTGACGCAGAGATACCCCGGCTGAAGCCGAGGAATACGCCGCAAATTGCACAATATTGCTTCAGTTCCTACTGGGCACCGCCCAAGCGGTAGGCCTCCAATACAAGGGAGCCGCATCGAGTCAGGAGACGTTCAGGTGGCTACGGATTCATCCAGAAGTATTGCCACTGGAACATCGTTCAATTCAGCCAAAAGCGCCGGAAGGGGACTTCCGAATCATGTTCGTTCAACGAAAAGGTTTTTGGCTCAGCGATTTATGTCCAGGACGAAGAATCATACTTTGAACATCTTGGACCTGGTAGACGCAATCAGCCCTGCTGCAATTTTGGTGCTTGTCCTTGATCGTACGCAGAATTCAGAGACAAATCACAAAGGGCCTTGTGACAGCTGCCCGCATGATTGGGGAAAGGCCGCTCATTGCCTAGCATGTCGCACGCTTTCCTCATAGTCATACTTTCCACTCAGCTTAGGAAAATTTACATAACTTTAAAATCAAATGGACACAAAACATCCCACTGCAATTCAGGCACGACAGATAAGATGCAATAATAAATTCGTCTCGTGGTTTCAGTCCATCCCCAAAAATTTTCCATGTAGTCCCATTTTAGTCATAGTGGATTGGATGTTCATTGGGACGGATAATGGCTCGTGCACGGCGGAACTGTCGAATCGCCAGCTACTTCCTTTGCTCAGCCTGAAGGGAACCCTGGACAATGTCGTAGACCTGGGCTCACAAGATGCCGCTGATCGATCGCGCTAAGCCCTTAGGCTTAACGACAAGGCTTTGGAACTGGATGGCTGCTTTTTGTCCCATCAGTGTTGGGTGTGCGAGTCTCGGTGACATCCGTGCTTCGATGCAGGGAGGAATGCTTCTTGACCGTCTGACAAGCGTGAGTTTGTGTGGCTCCCCGAAATCAGAAGCATGATTGTAAGGCTGTGTGGCCACACTAGTACTTAGTGGGCATTTGTTTCATCGGATGATGGCACCTTGCCATCTCACGCCGCCCTTTCACCCGTTACGCTGTGCTCCTAATGATCGACATGCATCACCGAGAAAATAGCTTCGCCCGCCTCTAGTTCTTGAAACTCGCCCCGGGGATTGTTAACTTGGGACTTCTGCATTCTTTTGAGACCCTACTTGATCCATATTTCCATAACGAGTCACCATTACCATTTCCGCCAAACCGAGATTCTCCCGGCTACTCACAGTCTCTTGCTCATTTGAAGGTTCACGATGTCACACTTAAGCTACCTATAGAAGGTCACTTCATTTGTTAATCCAAGATGCTGGTCCAATTTAGTCTTAAAGGCTTTGAGTGCTGTATTCACTTGTGCAGGATATAAAGCATAAGCCTCAAATGGGCTGTCTCCTCCTGCTGTATGAACACTGTCCAGCTCCCCACTGCCTCTGCATCACCATACAAACCGGTCGGCTGCGCCACATGCCGTATCCGTAGGAAGGTCTGAGCATATCATTATATGCCCACAACTCCCAAAAGCTTACCCCGATCTAATCGACAGAAATGCCCTGTCGACCTCGATGCCGAAGGCGCCTGCAGCCTGTGCAGGAGACTCGGAGTCGAATGTTGGGGATATGGTCAACCCCTTCCTTCCTGGACCAAAGTCAATATACTCCATTGCTTTTTCTTGGCGCCTTTGGACTGACGATGGTTTGTTTGCATGGCTCGGCGTTCAGGACCCGCAGACACTGCAAAACTACAAGAAGCAGCTGCAGACAGCTGTTGTATTAAATCGCCAACGGATCTTTTATGGTGCGTTTACACGACCCATCTCAACCCCCTTGCTTGGTCACTGAACCAAAGAATTCAACAGAATCTCAGGGTCACAACGCGGGGTCGCTCAGCACCTATGGCCAAGGAGAGCAAGCGTTCTCGGTGTTCTCTGTCGCCAACACGAGTTTCCCGGAGGACTTGAACGATCTCGACGTAGATACCCAGAGCCTCTCAGATCTCATGAACTCAGTGGGAGCCGTCGATGCCTCCTCCTCACCAACTACCCATTACTCACCGATGCCGCAAAACCTGCATTTTACACACGCACCCGCGGATACGTACGGGTTTTATAATGGACAAGGCCACCCAAACTCATAATGCATGTCGGAATCACATAGGGGGCCCACTTTGGTTTTGTTGCAAACATTTTCTGGTTTGGGATGGCTGGGCGCGTCGCTTCCCTATTGCTGTGCCTACATCGTATCGGGATCTGGTCATTCTTTTTCGGTTCTCAAGGGTGCTATTGAACAAAGAAAGGATAGCCTGCCCTGGTACGCACAAACAGCACGCTGCTTACGGTGAAATGGACTGAGAATCATCTGGTTGAGTACCCAACGATTGCGTTTTTCGCATTATAATATCAATGCATCTTTCCTCTCGATGATCCTCCCACTTTTCTGGCTATCACCTCCACAATGTAGAGTTATGTAAAACTGCGAATTAATCATACTAACACTTATCTGACCAGTGCAACCGACCGTGGAAGCACACAGAGCACCTTGGTGCGGGCCCCCCTTTGATAGAAATTAGGGGTCCTGCCCTTACCTCCTGCACCCCCTGTTTCAGATAGGATCCCCCAGCCTCTATCCCCGTTTGAGTCGGCTTTGATACTGAGTGTGCACGTGCATCAGCTGGGCACAATGTGTCGGAAAACCCCGTATAACGTTTAAGTAAACGCTTGATAAATTGTTTATGGATTTTTTGATGTGTGGGTTGCGTTTTTGATGCTATGGAATGTATTCAAGTAAATCGTATTTATATGTTTGAAAAATGCATCCCACATACCAAAAACCCCATATGTAAAACAGTTTATCATGCGTTATTCGGGATTTTCCGACATCAAACTCCACTTTCGACAACATTCGATTCGGCGTTAATTGAGCCAGTCGGTTTATTTAACTCAGGACGGGGGTGGGTCTGCGTCAGAAGGATACGATCACCATAGCCCCTTCCATGGTTACAGTCGTGCTGGGTAGCAGCTGGCAGGCTCCACACTGCATTCAGTCGTTTTGTTTCCCTCTGCTCTTCAGGCCACGAAGGCCTGAGTTGCCAGCGCTTCTCACATACTATCTAGTTCTGATACCACTATCTGGTATGAGTCTGCATGGCGCTTGCTGGTATCGCAGACTGCAATGTTCTGGAACAATGATGACCGATTTGTCAGCGTGAATTGAAGACAACGCGTCTCGTTAACTCGTAGTTCATTTTTTTGCGATGCCGTTCAACTATGGCCGTTATTCTAAGACGCGCACTTGTCTTCGGTGCTTCTGGCATCGAGAGGAATGAGCACGCTGTTCCAAGTCCGTCTTTCCCCAAGGACGATTTCCGATCCATTACAGGGACAACCAACCGACCACTCTTGCGTTGAAGATGCTAGTAACTTGCGTGAAGACCCTCGCCTGGCGCTCGTTTCAGGTACTCGATAACATGATATCACGTCTCCAGGCGAACGTTTCCAACATGGAGGACACCACACATGTGTATCTCCGCTGCACGTCCACTCTCACTGACTCACTTGACTTACCCGACGAGTAGATGGAAAAGTACCCGCTGCCAGAACTGCCTTTCCACGAAAGATTCTGAACAACGCTTTTTTACTGTCAGCCTTTCCTTTATCTACTATTTCTATGCTAAACCCATAACGCACCACGTCGTACTTAGATGCCTAGGCGGATGTTATGACTCGATTGACGTGGTGTCAAGTTGTTCCTTACGTGCTTATTGGGTTCGTGCCCACCCCCAACCCTATGAATCTTGCGCACAAGCTCGGTATTCCTTTTAACATTACGAAAGAGTGTGCATCAGAGGCCCGGCATATTAGGCTAAACAGCTGTCGCGCAGGGTTGCGCAATTAGCTATTCCGCTGCACTTCACCATGATCTTTCAAATGCAAGCGTTTTTCACGGAAGGTAAGATATAGTCCAAGCGCTGGAGGGGTGTGGCGGCTGCATTTGGGCTGGTTGGAGACCCTGCGGAAGAACGTGCGTTGGACATCAATGCCTGAGCTTCCTAACCAGCTCAGGTTAATGCCTGGCGCAAATAGGAGATCGAGTATGGCCTGAAGTCAAACACTTTGGATGACGCCGGCTGGGACATTATGGCGGGCTTCATGTTCGGCGATTGGTACCGCGACAACACCCCGAAAAAGCGGCTCGGATATGAGGATGATGTTGACGTGTTGAGCGATTTGAAAGAGGTGTCGGAGCAATACATCTCGTTCAAACAGTTGCCTCCTTTCTCGTCTCCCTCTCAGAAACTGAGGGTGCTCCATCACTGAGCCTGCGAATGGAGGTCGGCAAGTGAGAAGTTTCTTACGCAAGCAACCCTCGCTGAGCCATGGTCCAACCATTGCAACGGCAGTTAGTCTCAACACAAGGAGTCAAGAAGAAAACGAACGATGTGTTATCGGTAGGAAACATACAACTTTACTTGATCGGTGCAAAACAGTTGATTATATGGCGAGATCGAGGGGGGAGATTTCAGTCGATCTAATCCATCGCTGAACTGTCCATGGAATGGCGATTAAGGTGCCGTGAAATAACTTGTTTTAATAAGTCCTTCCTTGGCCCAGCGTGGAGGTTCCAAACAGGCGTTTTCGGTGGTATAAGATCATCTTCACCTATAGATCGGTGCTTGTTGATTTGAAAGATCACGTCGCCTGCCTTCAGCATGTCAACTTTGGTGACATCTAGGACCAGTTCCGTTGCATCAAGTTGTCTATCCATCTCATCCCTCCTTCCCTTTTTTGCTGCCTCCTCCATCCGGCGCTTCTCTTGAACCCCAGCCTTTATCCACTCAGCTCGGCGTGTCCCCTCCCGATGAAGACGATCAAGCCCTCGAGCCCGTTTGCGAATCCATTTGGAATGCTCATTCCCAAATTTGGCTTGTATGAACTCCTCGGTTTTGTTCTCCTTATACATCATCATGGTGTTGAAGCGATGCTGGCTCAGGGATGCAAAATTACGCGTCCATACCCTCCATCTACCTGACATTCTTTCAAAGATAAGGCTATGTAGCGTTAGCTTAGGGTCATGTTAGAGATCTATATTGTAAATACCTATGTAGCGTTCAAGTTAGCTACGGCATAGACAATACATGAGTTACAACATGCAAAAAATTGGAAAGATATCATTCTTACCTCAGACTCGTGTTAGAGATCTGAGGGAGATGGTTCCAAATTTTTCTCTCTTTTATACGCAACGTTCGCTGAGTGGCAACGTTGCCATACAAAAGTGTTTCAGAGAGGCAAAAGCGCCAAAGCTCTACAAAGCTTACCAAAGCTTACCAAAGCTTATGTTATGTTACACATTAGCCGAGATATGTTGTGTGGCACAGGCACAAAGCTTGTTTCTCGTCTGGTGCTTACATAAGCTGACTGGACTGTTGGTCTCAACACGCTCTATCTTATCAACTGGTCGATTGCAATTGAAAACATCCATGCAATACAAGGTCATAACGGACTCGTTAGTTTATGCATGAACCACACCAATCATAAGAGGTCTCCTAGCCTCAATTTCTCTTCAACATCATCATCCGGAGTGTCGTTATGTAAACTGCGCTCTTTCGACTTCTGCAAGTTCTTATAATAAAGATAGCCTAGTCCTAGGGAGATGTCCACGATGAGTACTAGGTGTTATGAAATTGAAGTACTTATCCAAGTGTTTTGGCTACAGCTCTTTTCGGCTTAGAGTCGTTGCGTCAGAGTGGAGAACAATTATATTCTCACCGACAGTGCAGCTGATATTGACTTTCGTCGTTTGGTGGAAGTGAGGGCCATCGAGGTACAGCTACGTCGCCAGTATTCCTCTGGAGCTGCTGTTGATGGATGCTAAAACTCGGATGTGGTGAGCACAGTCTGACAGGCGTATGAGGACATTGTGAATGTTACAAAGGGTGATAGCCGCAGCGCCGTCGGTAATGAGGATAAACATTACTGTATCGGAAGAGCTCGTGAATTGAACAAGAACCAAAAGTGCAACAATCCTACTTCGGGATCCACGTAACCAAGCACGGAATAGTGATGGAAATACCAATCGCTTGGGCGAATAGCGAACCATACCTCACATGGACATCTGTGCCGTCTATGAAGTTTTGAGTCAATGTCATGTTCCTGGCGTCAATGATGTATACGAACAGTACATCATGATGGAACCTGCAAGAGTTATGAAACTTGAACCAATCGCAGTTAGCCCTCGGTAATGGTATTTGTCGCTGAAATAGGCGGCTGCAAGGCTCACTGTATTACATAAATGCTGGGTTCAAGATCTGAATCCACTAGCAACGCGATGAACGACACACAAACAAACGCGGAAGCGAATGAGGGGACTCCATAAAGCTGAGTTTTGGTGGGCGAGTAACCTAGACTTCCCGAGGCTAAATCTACGGCTCTATCGGCGATTCACAACGTGACAAGTATGCCAGTCCAAAGACAGAATAGCCTGGGAGATGCAGGTGATAGTACAGCAGTATGGCGTAGTATCACACATTCAACGTGAGGCGCTGTGAAAGCTGACCACATGCTTGAGAACCAGTTTTATCGTCCGCTGTGTCGAGAGCTGTGTCTTCTTGGAGTGCACGTATATACGCAGACTTTTCTCTCTCTGTCATGAAGGTGGCACTCGGAATATCTTTCGTTACCCAAAAGCAGGAAGCGACTCCAACTATGACGGTGCAGATGCTTTCCTACATATATCAATCGATTCAGGGTTAAATTTATCTAAAATCTCCGGCGACGAACTCGGACTAAGAAGAAGATCCAACTTTGTTGCAAGAATCAGCAGGGCTGAGCCGAAGTGACGACGAACGCACCTCCAGTCCGGTTTGCCACTTTTACCATCGAGATGAATGACAGCGTAGGCTGAAAGCCCAGAGAATGCGCCTGCAAGGCTCGTGGCACTGAACAACACAGTTATCCGTTTTTGCAAGTCGTGGCGCTTGTAAAACTCCGACAGGTATGATACAAGAGCCGGAATCAAAGGCCTTGAAATGCTGAAATGAAGTGGAAATAAGCTATGGCGGCACTAAAAAAAAACAAGCCATACCTTCGTCAACCCTAGGAATGACCACAAGGCTAAGTATAAATATATGGGCACCAATCCTCTTCAACAACAAGTTGGATGGTATCTCCACGGGTAGGTATGGTACTAGGGTGGGGTTGAATATCAGCGATCGTAACTTTTGATCACGTCCGAAGCTGACCCACTGAAGAAGACGCTCGGGACGATGAAAAATTCGTATGAAGATCTCTTAAAAGCTCCGCCTTTGCAGCGTTCCCTATAATTGAGCGAATGATCATCAGAATCAGAGCACGACACCATTAACTGCATACTTGCATCAACCGGCGATCTGGCGAGGATTCCCCGCACTCCTTGTCTCCTAATCTACCCTATTACGATCTTCAGGTGATAAGAGATAAACTGGTTTTATTGAGATCGACTACTCATGTCTCGTGTGATACAGGGGAGCAATGAGCCGTATTGCTTGCGACATTCGCGGCCTCTTATCTTATGAGGTAACAGAATCACTCGTAGTATGCGTCCACTGGAGGTGCCAAATGGTGTGAATGGCCCCTGATGCCTTGCGGCTTGGATCCGTTGTAAGATGGTTCATGGCTGGTGTCTGGCCCAGAATCCTTTGCGGGGTTAACCCAAACCTCAGTTTTCCTTTCTGGTCGTCGTCGAGCCAGACAATTGGACAGTACACGATCATGAAGTCCGATGCTGCGGCGTTGTCAAACCTGTTCTTGGCGAGATATTTCCAGAACCCTACCTGTCTTCTCAGGGAAACTACTATTACCACGGGGAGGGTTTACAGGCCACCCTCTGTGCGCCTATTCTGCCAGAACCCCAAGCGTGCGACTGCTTGTGCGTGAAACCTATCAGTACCACGGGTATACAACAATCCACCACCCCGCCTTCTTCCCTCACGTGCTGCAATGGAGAAGCCGGACGTTACTGATGTTGGTGCAGAGGACGAGAGGCTCTACCTTGGCAGTGAGAGACATCGTGATAGCAGTCCAAGTGATGCTGCGTCCATCGAGGGCAGCGTCGATCTAGCTACAGCTCGACGAGCCCGTATCAAAATCGATCTTGTTGTCCTTACGACATCTATAAGTTATCCGACAAAAAATATGAGCCTTTAATTTGACTAGTCCCTTTATAGAGTTCCTGAATTTCATCGTAGGCTGAGGCTTCCACGTCCACGTACTTCGCAATACCTTTTCTAACCTATCATTTTATAAAACGAACCTGGATAGAGACCAAACGTACTTATTTTGCACTGATCACGTGCACATTTTCTTTTGCGCTCATCTAAGTGACCCGCGGTTTTGTACAACTTCATCCACTACAATGGCATCCAAGAGGCAACGGCATGACTCTACGGATACCTACACAACTCCTGACACACCAGATGCCGCTATGGCCGTTGTACGCCGTCTCGTTAAACAGTTCGATCTTGATGTTCCATTGAAAGACGACGACTCAAGTCTGTCCCTATCTTCGTCTTGGAATCTGGTGCGCTAACGGGTTGACATAGAACATGGTGTGGGAATTGAAGTCACATATGATGAGGCCGCTCCTCGCGTCGGACTTCAACCTTGGGATAAGTTGGACGACATCGGAACCTTTGAAATCCACCGCTGTCATATTCCCACAAATCTTTTCAAGTCGATTGTGATGGACATGGATGTCATGTTAATGCAATATGGCCACCCTTCTACTCATCGGACAGAAGAGGCGAGATCGAGGTTTTTCTCTCCAGTATGGATAAGCTGATTCTCTTGTCCCCCTCAATGTTCACTGCAACCAACAGGTCCTCAACCACCTCGTTAAACAGTTCACTTTCATACTGAGGAATACCCCAGAGACTATACTCGCTGGTCACATTGGTACACAGGGTCTCATCAAGCACGTCTTCAAAACTTTCGGTGCTGTTGTGGTCCTTTTCATTGAGATGAAGCTCCTTGTGGGAAATGACCCGAAACGTTTGGAGGCTATTGCTCAGGTTATAACTGAATGTGATGGTGAGCCCCAGCATTTCATGGTTACCCTTTCTGCTCCTGACCTCCCTGATGTACAGGCAGCAACCGCTTTCATCATTTTTCTCTACCTATCCACTGCATTTTCTCCGATGGCTGGTCCTTTGAATTTTTCAGGTTTGAAAGGATGCCAAATCCAACATTTCTACGTGGCTGTTTTCAAGGAGATCCACCAGACCTCCGGCATGGTATGCGGCTACCTGACATTGAAACTTCACTTCCTTTCATTCTCCAGCTTCGCTGTGTATGTGAGACAATCTTTGATGTCATGCTGAGTGCATATATTGCAGGCTTGAAAGCATATTACAATCGAGAGGAAGACATGGGGAAGGAGGGTTTGAAGAGACTGAGTTTTGGTGGATGGGATCGGGCCCTTCAGTTGGCAGAACATGCACAGGAAGCATTTAGGGAGGCTGAGGTTCAATGCAAGGAGGGTAATATTGTGTCTGCAAATGTGACCATTGATGCAGCTCTTCTTGCACTACAGGAGAGGTATACATTCCACTCTTATGTGTGCCAGATCTACCATTCATTCCCTACCTTGTCTCAGTACAGGAGCATTGCCAACTAGGTACAAGTCAAAACTCATCATGATGGACTGGGATGATGCTGAGATTGACAGTGCATGAAACCACCCTGCATTGTTTTCATGGATGGACCACTGCAGTTTGGCAGTTGAGTGGGATTTTCAAATTCCCAGTAGCTAATCAATGTAAGGAAGGGATGGTGGTTATGTTTATTCCTTGTTATTCCTTGTTGTACCTGTGTATTTACATATGTATGGTGTGGAGGGGTTCTTTACTCTTCTCCACACCGAGTTGAATACTAAGTTCTGTCTAACCTGGATATTGACTGACCTGAGGACTGAAGAGTGTCAGGGCACATACCCTGACTTAGCCCGGACCCGGACCCGCGTCCGGACCCGCTCCACTTCCCGCGCACTTCCTGCGCCGCACGCTCCGCACGCTCCGCACGCTCCGCACGCTCCGCACGCTCCGCACGCCGCATGATCCGACCCCGGATCCCACCTCATGTGACTTCCGGGTATCCCCGGAAGTTTTCGCCATATTGGGGCCACTGTGGGAAAGTGAGAAGTTAACCTTCTTCTCACTTTCTTACCCACAGTAGGCAAGTGTAGCCTACTCTTCATTTATCTATACACTTTCTTACCCACAGTAGTTATGCCCTGAGATGGGCTGTGTTTACAGGCTAGACTGTGGACTGTAGAGAGGGGTCATGGGGACCCGGGGTCCGTCCCCTGACAAAGAGGCACCAAGGCTACACTGGCCTTACATGTACATGCTTAGTGGGAATGGCCAGAACCCAATCAGTCCTGTGTTGTGGATTGGCATCATGCAACCTGTAAGGGAGATAGGCTGCACACTTGCAAGCACTGTGCCTCCATTATGTCTCAGTTAGTCCTTGTATTTCTTATGTCTGAGGTATCTTGTAGAACGGGAACGGGATTCACTCAGAGGGACTTTGGGTAGCATTTTAGTCGAGATTAGAACTGAGGAACTACAGGTTCTAATCTACGGGTATTTATAAGGGGGAATGGAAAGGACTTAGTCAAAGTCAAAATGATAATAGGAAAACACTGAAAGGTGCCGAATGATACAGAGAGGTACTGAAAGGTTCCGAATGATATTTTTAACGGGGAACTGAGGTGTCGGGTCGAGGAGGGCAGAGTAAGAGGCCGGAAAATGAATGGGAATGAGAAATGGGTAAGGGGAGTTAGCCAACTGAATGGTAAGAAGAAGATAGTCATGCTAAGAATGAAAGGTGACTAATAAGTGATGATGTGAGTGAGGTCACCAAAGGATGCGGGTAGCTCCAAAAGTGGAGTTGCATATCCGAAGGATGTTGGGTGACTCCAATAAATGAAATGGGTGGAGAAATGGTTTAAGGGTGTCATGGGATGTCAGAGGTCCGTCGGGATATCAGAGCAAATCCGGAGTCTCCGAATGTGCCGACTTGGGACCGAGCTTCTGGGATGGGAGTGGCCAAGGTTCAGTGTGCTGCAACCAGACCGGGGCTGAGACAGTCAGGAGGGAAGGTGACTTGGGGAGTGGGGAGGCATGGTGTAGGGGATGGTGAAGTTGTTAGGAAGGTGTGGTGTGGTGGGAGTGCACGGGGTTGGGATTCCAGGATATGACATTGTCCCCATTTGGAGGATGACTGGGTTCTTCAATTGGAGGATTGGGATGTGGACCGCATGGATGAAGTCTGGCAATATTGCGTCTGTTTCAGCTCCACTGTCAAATAGCACGTAGGCTTTTATGCCTGCTATTTTTACATGAGCCATCAGTGTTCTCTTTGTTGAGAGTAGTCTGTTTGCAGGGTATTTTCCTGCATCTTTTGAGATGCAGAATTTCGCATCAAACAAGGGGGTCTGGGTTTCGATGGACTTTTGGTCCTTCTTCCCTTTCTCCTTGTTTTCCTTGGGTACTTTGGTGTATTTCCCCAAGGCATCTTTTCTTGGTGCTTCCACCAAGGCTTCAGCAACTTTCTCATCTGCCATGTTTTCTAACTGGCATGCCACAGCCAGTTTAATTTTCTTTGCTGATGGGAGAGCTCTACTGCAGCTTGTGGTCACCATGGTGGTTGTTTGGGTGTAATATCCTGATTTGTAGGCTGAAGACATCTTCAGCCCATCAATTATGAGATATTGCTTTTAACATCTCCTCATTTGAGGAGAAGTCCACTCTGATTCTGTCATGAGTGATCATTTCCCTCTTCCATTCGAGGGGAATGTTGTTTAGAAACCTGGCGTTGAAGGACACTGTAAGGGGGCAAGCACCAGCAAACCTGGATGTGGAGGCCTGAGAGCTCATAGAGCTCTCAGAGTTTCAGTACTTTGAAATTGCAGGTCCCCTTCTCTCAGAGCTCCCCAAAGTAGTCAAAGCTCATAGAGCTATATTTGCACACAGGGGACTATTATCTATATGAGCTCCCTGAGTGTTTAATTTACCCGATATCAAAATTAAAATTTAAGAGCATTGACTCTGGCATCATGTGATGAGTCACAGCCAAGTCCCTACCATGCAGGAAACTGAACAAACTGAGCTTAACTTTCAGCCCCCAATGTGGCACTACACACCAAGGGTATATAGCCAAATTAATATATAGACCAAATTTAGGGATATACATATACAGTTAATCTGAAATTACTTAAGGAAAATGCAGGAAAATGAGTGGAGAAATGGGGGGAAATTGAGGAGGGAATTGGGGGGGGGGGGGGGAATGAGGGGGGAATGAGGGGGGGAATGAAGGGAAATTTGAAGGGGGGAATGGGGGGAAATTTGGAGGGGGAATGGGGGGAAAATGGGGGACAATTGAGGAGGGAATTGAGGGGAAAATTGAGGGGGGAAATGAGGGAGAAATTGGGAAGGAATGGGGGGGGGAATGGGGGGGGAATGAGGGGAAAATCGAAGGGGGGGATGGGGGAAAATTGCGGAGGGAATTGGGGGGGAAATTGAGGGGGGGGGATGAAGGGGAAAATGGGAGGAAAATGAGGGGGAACTGGGAGGTTTCTAAAAAGTCAGGGAAAATTAAGGAAAATTCAGAAAATGGGGGACTTTCTAAAAATGGAGAATGTCCAAAAAATCAGGGGAAATTAGGGGGAAAATCAGAAAATTTGGGATAAGTTAGGGAGAGATATTTCAGGAAATTAGGAATAATTGGAAAAGAAATTAAATCACTTTTTTGATAATTCAATGTGTATTGGAAAGTGCCAAAGTGTCAGGGATGCGTCCGGGGTCGAGAGGGCCCAGGAGTAATGCCTGGCACTGAGGCTGTCGTGGGGTGTGGAACGGGCATGCGTACTGGCGGGCCTGATCTGGGACAATGGTCCCTGGCCACTCAGACTGAAGTGGAGAATGTGTTATTATTATTAAAGGGGAAAACTATACTACTTACCTGAAGTGGAGAATGTGAGAAGAAGGTTACTTCTTTGGTTCCCACTTCAGGTACATTTATGTACATGTGGCTTGAGTCACATGACAAGTGCCACGTCGTCCTCGGAGACAGCTGCAGGCATCCGGGTGTCCCCATGGGGGATCCCGAGAGCATCCGCTGCATGCGCGCGCTGGGCACAGCGGGAAGCCGTCTGGGGTGTGTGGGCTGGACGGGTCAATAGTACATTGATACAAAGGAAGATGGTCCGTGTAGATAGAAGGAAATAAACAGGAAGAGGAAGATGAGAAGAGTGAAATAAAGAAAGGAGAAGGAAGAGGGAAAAGGAAGGGGAAGAGAGGGAGGAAGGAGGAGGGAGAGGGATGGACAGTGGGGAGCGAGTGTGGTGTGGCCGGGTGGGTCCGGGTGGACCCGGGTCAGGTGGGTGTACCCTGACACAAAGTGGGGCAATGTAGCAATGTATGTTTCAGTGTTAGAAAAGTCTCCCACCATGTTTTGGTGAGCCAAATAACCATGGCTTTTTGACCATGGGAAATTTGGTGTCAAAGGCTTGGATGATATCTGAAGAATACATCAGCTTTTTGTTTGCTTTATTTTTAATTTACTTCATTTGGAACACTTTTTAAAACTGATTTATACCCTACATAACATGCGTGGTCACATTGCCACACTTTAGTGCTTTCCAATTCACATAGAATCATCAAAATTGGTTGAGTTTTGAGCAAGAAATGAGATGAAAGATAAAGTGCAAATTTTTGAATTTCAGAGTTTTCCTCATATTTTGTAAATAGCAATAAACAAATAAGGTGCTGATTTTAGTAAACACAAAAGGTATATGAGCTTTCAGAGCAATGACAATGGCCATTTTACACACACATATATCCATATTATCTTTGCACTACTGGTGCCAAAATAACTAAGCAGATTTCATGGAGATATGAAGACCATCCATTATTTAAAAATGAAAAACTCTATGAGCTCATAGAGCTTTTCAAGTAATGATGCTGGCCATTTAATATGCATTTCCAAAAATGTATATACATATTATTTTTGCACTTCTGCATCCTTAGGAGAACAAAATCATTCAAACATTTAATTTTCTCCACCCAATGTGTAGAGGGTGCACAGCAAAAAGACTCAATTTGCTCACAGAGCTCTGTGAGCTCTGAGAGCTCCCTACCAAGTTTGCTGATGAGGGATCTACCACCCTAACGAAAAAGAGAGGGGGACACATAGTTGGGAATGCTCAGGGGAGGTTCTGTCAGGGACTGACCCGGGGTCAAGAGCGCCCGGGTATATCGCCCGGGGCTGAGGGTCCAGTAGGTATGATGTGGGTGCGCGTAACAACAGGCCCGAAGCAGACAAGGGTCCCTGGCCACTCAGGCTAAAGTGGGAAATGTGTTATTGTTATTATCAAGGGAAGTGTAAGCTACTTGTGTTAGAACTGGGCAGATACAGACGACCCCGGAGTGGAATCGGAGACTTAGCGTGGAGGGACCTTGGCCTCAGCGACTCAAGTGGAGCACTGTGCCATTGCTGTTTGTCCATTTGGTCCTTAATTTCACAGTAGGTGAGCAGGAAGTCTCTAGGGGGCATTTCAGGTCGATTTTGGACTGAGCCAAAACGAGTATGTACAAGCACCGATATATATAATGGAGGGGGCAAAAGCACAAGGAAACAAAGGGGAACTGAATCGGAGCGAAGACGTCCAAACGGGAACAAAGGGTAGAAGAAGCGGAGCGGTATCGAAGGTCACAAGGCAGGACCTGTGATACGTCCGAAAGGAGGTAGGGAGGGCGAGGCCCAGAGGGGCAGGAGGATGAGGAGAAGTGGGGATGATG